ACCTTGGAGCCCTTCTCCTTGCCTCGTCTTGTACCAGGGGAGACGTGATCTTGCTCGGGTGCCACTCGATGCCCGCATCCAGGGAGTGGCCGTAGGAGTGCTGACTTGTTACCGCTGTAGACAGGATGAAACGATCACCACCCCATAACAGCACGACAGGCTATGCCCCCAATTCAGCGCACAAACAACCCAAGTATTAGATCATTCCAATCCACTCCATCATCATCCTCATCCCCGTCCTCCTCCCCACCCGACCCACTCGTACTGCTCAGCATCGCCGGCGACACAGGCGACGCCGCCCCCCTGAGCAGGGTGCTCGCACTGGGACTGGGGCCGGGGCCGGGACTCCGGCTCCCCCAACGGGCGTTGGTCACGACGTTCAGGGCGCGACGTTCCGCTTCGGCGCGAGGGTGTCGTTGATTTTGGGGTTGGGTTTGTGGTGGTTGAGGTCGTGGTTGTATTTGGTTTCGCTGTTGCTGATTTTGTTGATTTTGTTGTTGTGGTTGCTGCCCCACCGCACCTCTCCCATTCCTCGCACCATCATCGTTGCCATTATTATCATCATTACCATCATCATCATAATCACCGTCATCAGCGCGGTCAATCTCGTCCAGCTCGTCCTCGATGGTCCGCCCCGTGGCGGGACTCAGCCGCCAGAGCGAGACTGACTCGCCCTGGCCGCCGTCGACGTAGAGATTCGAGTCCCGGCCGAGGATGCGGTCGGCTTTGCTGGAGGATTCTGCGGCCAGACCATTGTGCTCGTCGCCGAGGGCGAGGAAAGCAGCGAGAGGCTGTTCCTGGCCGGGTTGTAGTTTCGCCCGTTGGGTTGTTGTTGTTGTGGAGGGTGAGGGTGGAGGTAGTGCCTCCCAGCGCCGCCTTGCACGCCAAGCAAGCCATTGCCCTCCCGGTTATTATTGCCATGGTCATAATCGTCATCATCCTCGCCGTCGTCCCCTGCACCCCACCCGGCGACCCTCTCCCGCTCAGCCTGCTGCTCCCTCTCCCGCGCCAGGCGCTCCCGCGCACCCACCCACGCCGGGTTCGGCTCCCAGCTCCAGCCGTCGCCCGTGGTGTTACTCACGGGAACGGGCCATAGCCACGGGTTGTGGCCGAACAGGTGTAGCAGGTTGCGGCGGGGGCCCAGGTCGAAGGCGTTGGGCAGGCGCGTCGAGTCCTGCTCGTCCAGGTACTCCTCGTAGCGTTTGCGCGCGCGGTAGCGCTCCATCTCGTCTGGCGTGAAGCGCCGCGTGCCAGCTTGTAGGTCGGGCTCCATCCCTGTTCGCCGAGACGGAGAGCCGTACTCAATGTCAGGGACGTGGTTCCGCCGCGGGCTGCGGGAGGGCTCCGGGCGCAGTTCCTCTCCTTCTTCTGGGCGGGTTATGCCCGGTAGGGCGTTTTGGTGGATGTCGAGGAGCTGTTGGCCGTAGGAGGGTAGGGCGACACCCTGTCCAGGGGTGTGCTGGTTGATGTAGGTCCGGTGCATGCTCTGGCGCAGGGGCGAGAGGTAGCGCGTCTTCTCGAGGCACTCGATGGTGGTCTGCCCCTTGGAGGCCAGGTAGACGTGCCATCCGGAGAAGGCGCCAATAACTATCCCGATGATACCGGAGATGATGGACAGCAGGATGTAGTTGACAGGCATCAGACTCTCGACGGTAGAGGCGTTGGTAGCGAAGATCTCCTCCCACACCCAGGCGCCGGACGCGACGAAGCAGTAGAAGCAGTAGAGTGTCGTGTATATGAGGAAGAGCAGGAACGATTTGTGGTTGCGCAAGCCGACGCAGGTGGCTAGCCAGGGACAGTGGTGGTCCATCTTCAGCACGCAGCGGCGGCAAGTGGAGCAGTGGTGGGCGCGGTCGGGCTTGCGGGCCTGACACTTCTTGCAAAAGCGCATCTCACCATTGGACTTAACAGTGAAGGAGGTGGCGGTTGGGGCGGCGTGGGTCGGGAGCGTGCTGTAGCCATTGTCGTTGGTGGTGCTCCCTGGGGGGGTGAAGACAGCGGTTGTGTAGCACCAGTTGAGGAGGAGGTAGAGGGTGATGCCACCGACGGCGGTGGGTGTGCCTGGATTGGGGGAAAGGAAGGTCGGTTAGCAGGCTGGGGAAAAAAAAAAGTTAAGGGGGTCGGAGTAGGGTTAGTTGAGAGAACTTACCAAGCCAAGTCACCTTGGACGGATTGGAGCAGAGCATGATCAGAACATAAGCGGCCCAGGTAGTCAACCCGTAGACGAAAACCAAGGGAAAGTACTTTGCGCAGGTGCAGCATGACCGCTCAAGCCTGCGGGCCCAGCGGCGAACCGAGCCCATGGTGTTTGTGTTTGTGTTGATGTTATTGTCGGTGATGTTGGTGTCGGCGTTGGTGTCGGCGTTGGTGTTGCTGGTGGTCGCGTAGGAATAAGAATAGGAGGGGTCGTCGGAGGGGTCGGAGGGATCGAACCGTGTTAACGGCGTCGCATCCATTAGTCGCTGGGTGTGGCGGGTCCGGGAGGTCGGTGCGCGTTGTCGTTATCGATCCATTATTATCGTCAGGGTGTCATGTCGTGGGTTTGTGAAGGAGAGAGAAGGAGGTCCAGCAGAAATCCCGAGCCCATGGAACCCCAAACTCGGTACAGGGGTTCTAGGTCGCCGTTAGCTCAGCCTCAACAAACCTCAAACTTCCCCCAGACCAATGGCGCTGCATTTCGGGAAGAATTGCTGCTTCCGCGGAACGCTCGGACCAGGAAGACCCTGTAATTATGCAAGTCCCAGGCCGGCTGTCCACGCGCCGCGTGTTGAATTATTCATCGTTCATTGTACATCAAAACTTGGAGGGCAAAAAGCATCAGCTGCTTCGTGCTGTGTATAAAAACAGAAAAATTGAGCGCTGTTTACTTGAACAAAACAAATGGGGACCTATTCCCCCCGAATTTGGTCCTTGGCTCCTTTCTTCTGATCATATGTCGCTTGGCTCTACATCCCACACGGCCTTACCATTCCACTAGTCTTGCTTCGGAGCTTGCTCGTCACTTCCACCCTCCGCCTTGTTGGAGCCCCAGCCGTCCTGCTGGTTGCGTTGTTCCGCAGCCCACTTGCCCTGCGAAGTACCGAAGTACTGGCGAGCCGTGTCGGGGACTGTGTATTTGACCGTCCCATCCTCGTGCTTGCCCGCCGTGTCGACGATACCCGCCGTCATTTGGTCGATCAACTCGCGGTAGCCGTTCGTCCAGCGGAGGTCGCACCGCGCGCTCTGCGACTCGGCGTGCGCCGTAATGGCCGTCATGCTGTTGAACCATTTGAAGCATCGGGGGCACTGCACCTTGTGCTGCCCGATGTGCGACGACGAGAGGTGGCCGCGAAGACCTGCCACCCTCGGAAACGACTTGCTGTGAAAATGTCAGTGCTCTCTTCTTCTCGTCTGCACCAATATCTGATATGATGCTTACGGGCAGCGGTCATGTGGACACTTGAACTTGTTAAGGTATGTCACATAATACTTGCGGGCATCCCAGTCCGGATTTGCGAGGATCATGTTTCCGACCATTTTCCACTTTCTCTGCCTCGACGGGCTGCTGGGCATCTTGTTCTCCCTTGAGCCTGGGCGGACCTGAGCCGGGGGCATCTTGGGAAAGAGGTTCTTCTTCCTAGCCTCTGCCGCTTGCGGGGCGGTTTCTTCTCCTTTGACCACCCAGGCCCGCTGATGGACAGAACGGGATAACCTGGTGACCCAGTTGAGGAACCCCGCCCTCCTTCGTGGGAAATCCGAAAACCTTCGGCCGCACAGTATTTTCTGTCTTCGGTGAAGGCGTTGCGGGACCGGAAGGGGTTGCGGAATCGGAAGGGGTTCTTCTATCTACATCCTTGGCCAGCGAGAGATACTGGGTGAAATTGTACGGTGCCTTCCGGACAGCTGGAACTCCAGCTACCCCGGGACCCCCTGCAACCGGCCGAGTAGGGTTTTCGAATTCGCGACGTTGCAACTCTCGCGTAAAGGCGAGTTTTTCTTCGCGGCGGGTGACATAGTCATCCTTCCCAATTCTCGTGCAGCGGCTTTTCTCTATATGCCCCATCAGAGAGCTGACCGACAGGAATCGCTCATTGCAACCAGGGCATTCGAGGTCCTGCTTGGCCGCGTGGAACTTGAAAATGTCAGCTTGGAACGGTTTCTGAAGGGAATGATTTCGACGAGCCTACCTCCCTCTGGTGGCGATCCGCAGTCATCGAGGCGTGGAATACCATCATGCACTGAGTGCAATGGTAATGCTCTTTACCCTGCTCCCGCTGCTCCTTCCAGTGTCCCACGAGAGCAGCCCTGCTAGCCACCTCGACGCCGCACTGTTTGCATATGAGGGTCATGATGTCCGTAGGGCGCGGTTTATTGAATAAGGTAGGTATCGGAGGATATCAAGTCGAGCAGTCGGGATCGTGGAGACTGCCCAGCTGGGGGGACCGCTTGAATGAGGAAGGATACCAAATAGGGAGGGAGATATAGGAAATAATTCAATCGGGTAGGATTTAGGATTCTGGGGAATATTTGTGAGCACAAAAGAACACATCGGGGCTTGACGACTAAGCACGACTAAGCACAGTTCACACAACATCCCGTCGCCAGGAAAGAACAACCAAACTAACTTATTTACATGACCCAAGCAGAGGGAAAGAGCACATCGTGACATCTCAAACCGGGCACACGGCACCGTATTCAATATGTCATGTGTCTTAGATGATACGAGGTGAATTTACAGTAAAATTCATGGGCATATAAAGGGGAAACATCCACGACTTGCGTTTCCATTGTCACTAAGTTAATGACCAATTCATGTTAAGCTGTGAGCTCAGTATCTATGTTGTTTGAATCCTTGTGGGCTGAATAAAGCTAACGGAATAATCTTGAGTATCTATCTTTGACGAGGCCCCAAAGTTAAGCCTGCCGGTACGGGGCTGGGTACTTTTCTAAGCAGGGAGACGGCATGGTCTCCGGGTAAAGAACTCTGATGGTTCCGATGTGGGTCCGGGAGATGGTGCCAAGCACGGGGCAGCCCGAGCCCCACCTCCGGCTGGCCCGCAATCACTGATAAGGCCTGGAAGGTTATCTGTCATAGAGCATTAGGTACTTGGTGGAATGAATGCTAGCTTGACATGAGCATGTGCATCTTTGGCTAAGTGTACAAAATCATTTAACTACAGATTTCAGAGTTATATCTTGCTTGACTACATTTGTACCTAGCCTTTCAGAAATCTTTGTTTCCAGGCGCCTTCAGGTTCGGCAGTGTCGCATCCTTGCTGGAGCTGGGCCGCTTTGTCCCTCCTTCGTCATCAGCCGCGATTGCCCACGCGCCGCATCGGAGAACTTGACAGATCAACAACTTTACACTCTAACTATTTTCCGCAATCATATCATTGACTTCAACCCACCACAACCTAGATACCCAGCAAATTAACAACTCCACGGCAAACACCACCTCCCAATTTAAATCCGCATTTCTTCTCTTCGCAATCCGTCACATCGCGCGCAATGTCAACCGCAACCCCAACACCAAAATTCAACTCCAAATCCCCCACCATCCGCCGCATCCGTACGTTTTACCCGCCCAGCCAGCCCAACCAGCAAAACCCCCCCCATCCCCCTCCTCTTCCCTCATCACCCCACCCCAAAACCAAACCAAACTAACCACCCCACTAACCCCCAGTCCGCGAAGCCCACGAACTGACCACCACCCCCTCCGCCGACTACCACGCGGAACCCCTCGAAACGGACCTCTTCGAATGGCACTTCACACTTCGCGGGCCGCCTAGCTCCCCCTTCGAGCAGGGCATCTACCACGGGCGGATCGTGCTGCCGCCGAGCTACCCGCTGCGGCCGCCCTCCTTCCGCTTCCTGACCCCCTCGGGGCGCTTCGAGACCAACCGGGAGATCTGCCTCAGCATCTCGGGCCACCACGAGGAGACGTGGCAGCCGGCGTGGGGGATCCGCACGGCGCTGGTGGCGCTGCGGACGTTTATGGAGACGGATGTCAAGGGCCAGTTGGGGGGGATGGAGGCTGCGGAGGGGGTGAGGAGGAGGATGGCGGGGGAGAGTACCGCGTGGCGGTGTGGGGTTTGTGGGGGCGGGAAGAGTAATGGGGAGATTTTGGGGGAGTGTGAGGAGAGGGTGAAGGAGTTGGGGGGGGATGCGGGGAAGGCGGAGGAGGTGGTTGTGCCGGAGGAGTTGAAGATGGGGTGGCGGGATGAGATGGAGGCGAAGGGGGGGAAGGGGAAGGGGGAAGACGAGAAGGGGGGTGGGGATGGGGAGAGTGAGAGTGCTGCGCTGGCGGAGGGGTTTGTGCAGACTACGCCTATGCTGTCGGCGTCGGCGTCGTCGGGGAGTGCGCAGCAGCTGCAACAGCGGGCGGTAGGGGGAGGGAGCGCGGCGCCGCAGCCGACAAGGACGGTACCATCGCCGAGCCCGCTTCCCGTGGCGGCTGGTCCGCCGTTGCAGCAGATCCAACGAAGGGCGGCGGACGAAGACGCAGTGTGGCTGGACCGGCTGATTGTCGCCGTCGCTCTCTTGCTGGGTGCCGTGATTGCCAAGGTCATGTTTGCGTGAGTTGATGGGAAGAGGCCATGTAGTCTATTTCCTAACTATGCACCGAACTCACGGCCGGCATGGGCATTGGGACGGAGTTCAGGCGTTGGATAGACAATCATTATCCGTATTTTAGCTTGGATGCCACTGGGCTGCCAGCCCAGGGCAGCGGCTTATAACATACCCTCGGCAGCAGGGTAGGTAGCGTTGGTTACCGAACCACAAATAGCACAGGTCAACGCTCAAGGCCTCGACTTTCTCGGGTACTTTATCTGACGCTCGTACCATTCATAAGCGATGGAATTTGTAAATGACAAGGCCTCCGCATGATTTCCGCTACCCTAACTCCTGGTTATGCGATGTACATCGAAAAGGGTATCGCACTCCAACCTTTTAACCTAAGCACTTTTCCTCTCTTTGGTCACCATCTCGGGGTTCCCCAAAGGCCAACCACTCAAGGGCCAAACTCCAAATCAACACCCACTTCCTCGCATGATCTTATCATACAATGCGCTCTTCGCACCCCGTCACCCTTGACACTTTCCCCCTCAAGCCTGCATCTCCCCACCACTCTCAGCACCCCTCGCCGGCCTCGCCGAGGGCAAAGCCTTCCTCTGCCACCCCCCATGTCCATTTCCGTTCCCACTCCCATTCCCACTTCTACTCCCACCCGGCATGCCCATACCTGCTCCCCTACCACCACCGCTAGCGGTCGCCACTGCCTCCGTCGCCTCCATCTCCCTCAGCCCCTCACGTTGCACCTCGACCGCAATCCACCACCACTCCATCACCGCCGGCGCCATGCCCCGCAGCTGCGATTTCAACAACCCCCAACTGACCAGCCCACTCCATGATGAGCTCGGCCTCGAACACCATGATGACCGGCTTCAGGGTGCGCGCGAGCTCCTCGGCGCGCATCGAGCCGCGCGACGCCAGCGTGATCAGCACCGCGCTAAGGTACTTGAGCCAGCGCTCCGCGTCGACGCGGCCGAACACGTCGCACCACACGGGCACCGCGCCGCCGGGGCCCTTGGTGGGTGGTCGGCTGGCCCGGATGCGCGCGCGCAGGTCGGACAGGGTCGTGTCTTCTTCTTTTTTGTTCATCTTCGTGGTTTTCTGTCTCTTCCTGGTTGTCCTCCTTGGCGAGCGCGACGGGTTCGTCGTAGAGGTAGGCGTCGGTCGGGAGCACGTCGAGGCGGAAGTGCATGTATTTCTTGGTGTATTTGCGGGTTTCGTAGTTGCCCGGCTCGTGGCCCATGGGCACATTCCGCTGACCTGTTGTTTCGACACGCACACGGCCGTTCGCCTGCAGGTTCAAGAGGGCCATGATCATGCCGTCGTTGGTGATGTAGGTCACGCGCTTCTTCGTCTCGCCCGCGCGGAAGGCCTGGTCGAGCTCCTTCTTGAATTCGACTGCCCTGGCAAACTTTTGCTGCTGCGCATATTTCTCAAGGGAGTCAAGAACCCGCGTGTTGAAGCGCCACCGACGTCCGTTGGACCATTTCGATGACGACTTCGAGATGACGCCCTGGCGCTGGAGCTGGTCGACGCCCTTAATCATCAACTCAGTAATCTCCGCTTTAACCCGCGCCGGGAACAGCATGTTACGCCTATGGAGGACGGCATCGGCCGTGTACGCATCGACCGGCGTCACGCAGAGCGACCGCGTCCAGGACATGGCAATGATCATGTCGGTGCCCAGCTTGTGATCGCCGCTATTATCAACGGACAGTGCCAGTGCTTCAGAGGTGGCGTCCTGAAACTTGTTGAAGATGGACCGCTGTGGGTGGTAGAAGGCCTCCCTCCAGGGGCGATTGCCGTGTTTGAACTTGGACACAGTGACGGTTTTATCCAGCGCCTTACGCGTGGATGGCAGCATCCGCCACTCAGCCATGTCGAGCTTGGTTGTCCACTTGATCAAGGCTTTCCAGTCATAGGCCAGCACGTTGTCGAAGTCAATGGGCGGAACTTCGTTGTTCTCGTACGCCCTGAGAAAGGCCCGCCGAAACTTTTCCGTCAAACCGACGATGGTCGACAACCGGTCCTTCTTCAAGGCACACCAGTAGTGGCGGAGCTGGCTAATACTGTTGATTGTTAGCCAAGGCACATCTCAAAATAACTGGTAGCGAACTCACGTCAGATCGGGCACAAGCCTCAGCATCAACCCCCAATCCACAACCCGGTCCACTCCACCAAGCAAAGTAGTTGTCACAATGAACGCCGCCAGCCGGACGTTCTCGCTTGACCAATCGAGGTCCTCTTTATCGTACCGCAGGAACTCATCCGCCGTCCTCGGGTATGCCGTGTGCTCGCGTATCGTCTTGATAGCCGCAAGCTTGAGCTTGGGCGGCCTGCCCGGTAACCGTTTGACCTGGGCCCCATTGGCCTTCTGCAGGCGACGCTTCTTGGGCGACGCCTCGTCTTCCCTGGCGGCCCTCTCTGCATCATCGACGTAGATGACATCGTCATACTCGTCGTCTTCGAGGTCTTCGTATGGGAGAGTCTCGAGGTCATACTGGGTGTCTTCCGACCAGCCTAAAGTGATCGGCCGAGAGTTCGTCCTCGATAGGGGCGAGGACACGTTGATAAAATTGTAGTCAGGGTACAGACTACTTCCTAGCATCACCGCTGTCCCAGACTTTGATTGTTCCCATGCTGCACACTGATTGACAGTCGAACAGAATCTGGCGTAATCCCGGTCGACCCAGTCGCGCAGTCTGATCCTCTCAGCCTTCTGTTTCTCGGCCACTTCCTCTGCGCTGGCTGGGAAGTTCTGACGCTGGAGCCACTTGAGGCTAGGCATCCAGCCATTGAGAGTAAAGCTGCCTTCGTAGTGCTCGAAGAAGCCAAGGGGTTGGTCAGGCCAGGCGCCCTTGGACACGGGCTCAAGAACGGCGGGCCATGCGAATCGGAACGTCTTGGGCGCCTCAATTACTTCCCCGGAACCATCCTCGGTGCTAGCCTCGTCAAGCGGATCCTCGGTGCTCTCCCGACTCGTAGTCTGGCTCTGGTCTTGGTCTTCCCCAGCCTCTCCCGCTTCGTCCTCCAGGCTGGTATTGGGGTCCAGAATCAAAACTACAGGCGAAGCGAATTGGATCGTCGTCAGAGCTGAATCGCCGCCAAAGAACCCGCCAGGCAAACTTCCCAACCCAGGGTTCCTGATTCTACCAAGCTCGGGGGGTAATTTAGCCAATGGCTTGTACGGGTACGACAGCCGCCGCCGGCCGCCGCGCGGGCCCAGTTTCGCCGGCATTAAACTATACGCCTTGATTGCTTCAAGCACCGAAGGGCCGTCTCGCTGTTCGTATTGTGGCTGTGACATGGAGTCTCCCATAATGCTAGGATCCACTGGTATGTCGTCGTATTCACCCTGGAAACTATTCTTTGCCTTCTTCTGCGAAGGCCCCAAGAAGTCGTCGTCGGCTGGCCTTTTTTCTTTTCGAGGAATGAAACCATCGTCAACCAACCGCTCGGTATCTCGGATCCAGAGAGGATCTCTCTTGGGTCCAACGACAGGAGCGGTGTCCATGTAGTAAGGAGCATCAAAAACTTCAATCTCCTCGATCTTGCGCCTACTTCGGAACTTCTGGCCGTTAGCATTCGGCTTGACATTGTCCCTGTCGGTAGATTTCCTATCGAGTTCCTGCAACAGGACTAGCTCTTGCTGAGTTGGAGAAAAGGCGGGCGGGATGAAGATAGCCGGGTAGGTCTCACGCATCTTCTGCTTCATCTTGGTTGCGACGATTCCGTTCGGGTCCACGCCGGTTTTGATGAGCAAGGTGCATGTTTGTAGCCTGCCCCTTTCGGTTTTGAGCATGTGGGTATGCAGGGCGGCGAGCTTGCGAGTCTCGAGTGCCTTGACCGCACTGGTGCAATTTTTCCAGGTAGGTGGCATCTGTTTCCTGAACTCCTTCAAGAACACGTTGGTCAGAGCGTAGAACAGAGCCTTGTCGCCCGGGAACACGCCGAGGTTGTTCTCCAGGAGGTAATGAATGATGTCGAAGGCCTGAGCGGTTCTCCTCTTCGCATCGCTGGTCATGCGGCCATAATTTGACGAGGGGGTGAATGGTTTATATCGGTTTTGGTCGGCCTGTGGTGCTAATGCCTCTGGCCTAAAACTTCTTTCAATTGCCTGCCCATTCTGTTGATATGGAAGGTCTGGGTATTCACTCTGGGCTACCTCTACCTGACTCGCCGCGGGGGACTGTCCCGACGGCGAGGCATTTTCGTATCGGTTGGAACGAGGTGTTTCATTCGTCGGTCGCAATGTAAAGCCCCCAAGAAAACTCTGAGGGGATCGCTTGCCGTTGTACGCATCATTAATTTCCGGGACATCCTCAGAGGCCCGGGAACGCGAGGGGGTAGCGGGGGCGGTTGGCAGGGAAGGTATCTGCTCTAAAGCCTCGTCGGCAGTAGTCATATTGATAGTATCCTCCCCAACCGCCGCTGGCTTGATTTGAGTGGCGACATCCTTGAAGGCGAGTGAGGCTTTAGGACATGGGGTATCGCCGATTGAAGGAGGGCGAGGTTCAACGCTAGGGAGTGTTCTAGGCATCGAGGCATGTGACGGGCCCGTGGGGAGAACGCTCTTCCCGATCGAACCGTGCCCTTCGAATCCGGAGGGTCCCATAAGTATCCGCTTGGGGCGCTCCGACTCCCAGTCTGCCGACCCCTCCCCGTCCTCGGCAGTAGGGAGTTTGAGGCCACGGAACTTGTGGGCTGGGTCCTGCGTAGAGCGCATAGCAGCGCGGACTCTGTGCTGCACTCGAGGGCCTCTCTTCTCGCTCTTCTTCCCACACTTTGCTTTGCGCGTGCGTTCCGGGCGCTCTTCATCACAGACTTCAGAACCGACAACGGACGGAGGGGCTGGAGAAGGTTTGCGACGTTTCCGGGATCGCTCAAGTAATATCGTAGGGTCGAAGCTCGGGTTACAAGGGACTTGGGCCTTCTGCTGGTGGTACTTGAGACCCAAGTCGTTCTTCCAGGCGCCGCCACATAGTTCACAGACGTATGGCTTTGCTCCAGCAGCTAGGGCTTGTCCCTTCTTGCCTTTGCCTCGGCCACCCCCACGCCCTTTACCGCGAGCGGCTCCAGATGAAGCAGCCGCAGTCGCGATCTCCGCGAAGGCGGCTGCAATCTCCTCGGGAGTTGGCGGTTGGTAATCGGGGGATCTCAATTTCATGACTTCTTCCTGGATCCAAACAGCGTTGTTGTCTTGGCCTTCGTTGTTAAAGATGAAGACAAATGCCTGGGTCTGTGCCCCGTCTCTTTGCCCAGTATTGATCACCAGGCTTTTCTCATCAGACTCTGGAATATCTTGTATCACTGGTTCGGCGAGGTCCTCGTCGACGGGAATGATGACGGGTTTTTTCATGCCTCGTCCAGATCTCAAGAAAGTGAGCTTGCGGTCTTGACGATGGACCTGTAGCTTCCCGACGATGCCGTTGTACTGTACGTTCAATATCAGCTCTTCGTTTGTTCTCAACCTGGCAGTTTCGTCGACCGCCGTGGGAGTTGGCGAGGCGGCTTGTTCATGGTCATGTGTTGGCTCAACCGCGCTATACTCGATACTCTCAGCACCGGTCTCTATTTCATTGAAGCGACGTTTTGTAGGGCCATTAACCTCGGCTGGCTGGCTGCCTGAGTCAGCAGTAGCGGCGTTCTCTCTGGTGGCAACGTCGGGAGCAGCTTCGGCGGCAACGTCGGGAACAGTTTCGGTGGCAGCCTCAAGAACAATTTCGGGGGTAGTCTCGGTCGTAGCTTCAGCGGCAACCTCAGCAGCAACTTCGGGTACAATCTCAGCAGCGGCTTCGGCGGCGGCTTCGGCGGCAGCTTCGGCGGCTGCAGCCTCAGCAGCAGCCAAATGTTGAGGTCTGATGCGAGGCAGAAGTTTCCGCTTCGATGAAGGCTTCGATCTCCTGGCGGCCCGCGACATGTCCGCGAGGGAGAAGCCCTTGCTCGCATTGAAAGCCTTGGGCCGAACCTGGCCAAAGCCGTATCGGCTGGTTGGTGTCGCGTTGGAAGAGCTCTCATCAGCTCCTTGATTCTGTACCAGTTCCTCCCCCTCGCCAATCTGAGGAAGAGCGATCTGGCCTATTGCATTGGGAGCAGAGAACATGTAGGCGGAAGTTTTACCGGTGCGAACAAGCTTGCTGACGACTTGGAACTTTTTGAGATGCAGCGGTTGCTGGGTTTCGGCAACCTTGGTAAGATAGCTCGAAAGATACCGACGATGCTGGTAGCCGACTGTGGCCACGCTAACCTGAGGGTTGGAGGCGCCTCCTGAGCCGGCGCTCTGGATGACTTCAAAGACAGTCTGAGCGAGAGGCTTCTCGGGGATCCAACCGTTGAAGATTCGTTTTGCTTTGGAACGGGCATCGCCGCTCCCCTGGCCGTTCTCTCCCGATTTTCCGTAGAGAGCAAGCGCATTTGGTTTCGGCTCACGATGCCTCGTCGGGTCCGAATACAGAGACGTCTTCTTTCCAGTCGCAAGAAACTTGTCCCACTCTTCGGCATTAGGCTCTCGCACGAATTTGAGGCAGTCTTTGAAGACCTTGCGTGTGCCGGGGAAAGAGGCGGCTGTGTATTTCATCACACCGACATCAACCAAGCGCTGGCAGTTCTTGGCCAGCGTCTTCATCTGCCACCTTTTCCCCGAGACACCCATCTTGAGCCGTAGATCCGCGTACCGGATAACGTTGAAAGCCTTGACGACACCCACGGCGGTCCTGCCGAGCGCGTCCATGTCGATGTTATTCCCAGTCCAGCGCTGGTGCCAGGGGACGGGCTCAAGATTTTTGCTGAGCGTTTCCGGGGTCAAGTCGAGGCCGCATGTTTCTGCCTCGACAAGGGGAGGGGCGAAGTCAATCAACCACAATCTGCTCGTCTTCATCTTCTGCACAACGACTGTCCGCTTAGCGATGTAGCCCTTCCGAGCAAGTGAATCTGTTCGCTTCGGCAAGGACCGTTTGTCTTGATCAACAAGTCGCCGGAGATCGCTTTGGAGGATACCCTCAGCTCTAGCTGATGCCACACCCTGCAAGCAGGCCCATTCCAGAGCCGGCACCCGCTTATAGTCGACGCCATGGCGAGTGAGAGTCTGCCAGACAAGATCCTCGGCAGGGTGAATTCTGGGTCTGGTGGTGAGAATCTTTTTGGGCTTTTTCCCCTTGGTTTGTTGGGTTCCTTGGGGTTCGCTCGGGGCGGCGGCAATTGCTGGGTCGATGGAGCCGGCATCTGGCAGAGCTAGGGCCTCGCTCAGCTCGAGCCGATTCCACCGCTTGTTTCCGTTGATGAGAATTTGTGGTCGAGAACGCAGCCAGTCCCAGGCCCAACGGGCCGACGCCATTTCGGCATCCGTAAGTGATTTCTCAAAGTCATCGTCACTGACTGGCGCCTGCAACCCCCCGGCTGCGTCGCCTTCTGTTGACGCATCTTTTCCCTCGAGGCTAAGGTGATACTGCCGTACAATTTTCAACAGCTCGGTTATCGAAACTCCTGCAGTTGAATTAGCACGGGTTTTTCGCCTCGAAGACCGTTACAAAAATAGGGCCTCTGGCGCAAGATTGAACTTGGTACAGGAGAAATTTGCCAAGGTAGCATCTCTAACTCAATATCGGTGTGCATCTAATGGTGTTGGAGGGCCCCGGTCAAGAGCGTCCGACTCACCTTTCTCTCCAGAATATGCGATCTCAGGAATGAGGTCCTCCAAGAGAACCTCAAGACCAATTCCGCTCATGATGGCGGTATACCGTGTCTCATTATCGATAAGCGAAAATTTAGCGATTTGCGAGTCGATGCGGGGATTGAACGCTGATGCTCGTCGTTCTTGTCGCGGATTTTGAGGAAAAGTCGCGATGATGCGGGAGGATTTTTGGAGGGGCAGAGGCGAGGTGGGGTGCGTCAAATGCTTGAAAGGTACGTACCGCGCCGCCGCCGAGTGCGCTGCACAATGAAACCTGGGACGCCACTTTTCATGTTCTTGAACGGCACGGGCCTGCGCTGGGCAAACCGCAGCAAAATAATGTAAATGCTGGCAAAGCGTCCCGTCCTCTCTACGACTTAGACCCAACAATAGATCACAAATAAGACTTCTCCGGGGTGGCTCGTGGGTTCCAATTTTCAATTCAGTGACCCCTATATTCACTCGTATCGACCTACCGAAAAGCATATTATTTAGGTACCCACGGCAGGCCTCCTCTCGCTCATCATCTTCCTATACGAAGCCACCACCTCTTCCCGAATCCCCTGCAACTCTTCTCTCTGCCGCAAACTGCCCGCCGCCTTGGGAATATTCTCCACGGCCACGGCCGCTCCACGAACAAGCAGATTCTTCTTGGGCAGCTTCAACTCCGGCGGCGCCTGCGCGACCTCATTAATCCCAACCTTGGCCTCCCCCCTCTTCTTTTTGATTTCCTCCCAAGGATCCCTCTCGGGGCCGCCCTCCTCGCAATATACCTCCCCCCTCTTCCCCTTCTTTGCCCTTCTTCTTCCCCTGCGTCTCCCAATCCAGCTTCCACGACACGCCCGCCGGCTCGTTGTCCATTTCCTTCTCTTCGGGCCAGCTCGACGCTCCTCCTCGCGACGCTCCTTCACCTTGCGGTCCATCTCACGCCACTCGAGCGTACATGTTGTGCATCTTGCGTTCCTTCTTGGTGCGCTTCACCTTGAGCCCGAGCGGGTCCTTGCCGTTCTTCACCGTCTTGTTCACCAGACCACTAATGGGCAGGGCAGCGTCGACGCGCTGATTGAATTCGGAGATGCGCTCGCCGGGGCGGATTTTCAGGTCCTCTTTCGGGGTCGGGTCGGAGGCTGGTGCTTTGGCCGTTGTCGCTGCAGCCGTTGCTGTGGTTTTTGTTGTGTCTGTGGGCTTGGCTTCCGACTGGTTCTTGTTCTTCTTCTTTCCCTTGCCTTTTACCGGGGCATCGCCGTTGTCGAGACCGGACCGTTGTGGTTTGCCGCTGGCGAATGCCATTAGGCGCTTGAACGCGCGGGGCGCATCGTCGGCGTCTTTTCCTCCCCGTTTCCTTTTTTGGCCATTTTTCTTCTGGGCATCGTCGGTCTTCTTTTCGGCCGCCTTCTTCTTGGAGATGGTTGTTGGGGGGAGCGGTTTCGCGAGCTGCGTTGGAGGGAGGTCGAAACTGCAGGTTATTAGGTACGGAAGAGCATGGCTCCGGGTAAGGCAACAGATCCTTACGTCGACTCGTCCTGGTCTCGCCGTGTGTGCTTATGCGGCATTGTGGGCAAGTAGTCCTGTTTGGCTAGGCCTTCTTTTCTGGGAACTTGATGCTGGGTTGAGACAGGGCCATTAATTCCAATGGAAAAAAATCCCCACAGCCCGCCGATAAGATAAAGCCCTCCAGAGACGATCGAAGTCAATCCAAATAGTCGCATACGTACCTACCTAGGGTTAGGGTCAGGTAATCACCGTGTCACCTCTCTTGTCTCTTACAAGGCCGAGCAAGATCTACGGAGTGGTTACGAAGAGATTGTTTGAAACAGAGGAAATCGATATAAATTAAAGGTATTCTAAGAGAATCCTCTTTTCCTTTACGCATTTCTTTTTCCACTTCCCGTACCCAAACACTGAAGCGTTCAGTTAAACTCATGATTTAGGTCCCAGTTGACTCTTTAAAATTCAACCTCTAACTATACAATAAATGAGGCAAAATTCGATACCTGAGGTATTCGGATTGATTTGTTTATCACAGCTTCCTTAGGTACCTAATCTGGGTAGATACTCCTCTTCCCCCTATTGTGGGCCGAACTTGACACATAACACGACATGATTGAGCTGACAGTTCTAGTCAGTATCAGAACCCGGTGGCGGTATGTTATGCCGGTTTAGTGTCCGGATTCATGGCCAGAACAAATAATTCTGCCGCATCAGCCAACTTCACGGGTCCTTCATTCCGCCACCTGTCCAACACTCTTTTCTCACTTCCCAAGCAAGCTCTGGGTTTATATGTAGCCAGACGATTATTGAATCCTTCAAAATAGGTATCAATTGGCAGAATAGCCTAGGAGTCAATATTCAATCATTACATACAATAGAATTCAAAAGCTCTTTAACAATGAGGGCCGAGTACCAGACGACAACACTCTCCTTGGTAGCGTCGCCACCATAAAATCACATCACCACACACCCACCGCCCTCATTCCTCTCCCTCGCCTCCGCCGCTTCCCTCTCCAACCGCTTATTATCAGCCTCTTTTATCGCCAACTGCAGCTTCAACTCCATCAACGACTCATTCGCCTGGTTAGTCGCCTTCTCCCGATCCAACTGCGCCTGATACATCTGATTTGACAGCTGCATCTCGCGCTCATGCGCAGCCGCGCGCTCGTTGGCCAGTTCTTCGGCACGCTGCTGACGCAGCTCCTCCAGGGTTACCCGCATCTTATCGCGGTCGGCGCGGTCTTTCTTAAGCTTCTCCTCGAGCTCGGCGCGGACGGCGGCGATCTCGCGCTGCGCGCGCACGTCGTGGTCGCGCCGTGCCTCTTCCATCTCTTGCCGTAGCTCCGCCATCTCTTTCTCGTGCTTGCGCCGCATCGTCTCCATGTTGGACTGCACCTCGCGGCCGGCCGAGGTCTCGTCGAGGGTCTTGCCGCTGGCCATTTCCTTTTGGATGTCGAGGTCGATGCGCCGCCGCTGCGACATGATGTAGCGCATGATCTCCATGGCGGAGACGGCACCGTTGTCCTGTCGGAGGACCTTGCTGCCGCGCTCGACCATGCCGGCCCAGAACTCGGGCTTAGTGATGAGCTCGTGCTCGCGCTTGGCGCCGTCTTCGGGGGACGGGATCACGTTCCACATGGTGGTGGCGAGGACAACGCAGGAGAGGGCCTCGTCGCCGCAGAGCCGCTTGAACATGCGAAGGTTCTTCATTGCGGAGCCGCTCATGCGGTTGTCGGCGATGCGGTGCAGGTAGATGATGCCCGAGAGCTTGATGCGGCTCTGGTAGGCTGAGTTCAGCCAGTTGGCGACCTCGCGGAGGATGTCCGTGTCGGAGCGGTGCGTGTCGTCGAAGCCGGGCGTGTCGATCAGGTAGACGGTGCCTTGGCCAATGGTGGCTTTGTGGATGTTGACCGTGGAGGTGCCTGTGGCTTGTTAATTCTTCCCGTCCCTCCTGGAAGGGCGGTTATCGGTTCCGGCTTACATGATTCTAGCCCGTGACCGATCCGTGCACTTGGGGCAAAGTGGGAGATGAAGGTGGTCTTGCCCGACCCGGTAACCCCCATCACCGCGATGACAACGTCGTTCGGCCTGGATAGCTGTTAGAATACATACTTTGATTACACTGGTAGGTGGGACGTGAGCACTGACGTTAGGGCAGGAAGTTCGGCGGTGTCAGAGTGAGAGGTATTGTTGGTAACCCCATTTTGAGGTTGAGTTGGCGGGTGTCCGTCATATCCGGTCATGTCGGTCATCTTGGGGGGTACTCAATAGCGATAATCGCTGGAACGCCGACAGGATGCTTCGTCCCGGTTCGCTAACTGCACGATACTATTGGATCACACCGTGCTAAGACGCGGAGAAGATTACAAGCCGATGAAAAAGAGAGGGGAGCGGCTACGCTCTCAGATATATCACCCACCGGGTGGAGGCGGTCCGGGGAAGATTCCGTCATCTCTTGAGCAAACGAAGGTCCACGCATGTAACTTTGGGCTCATGTCGTCCTGTTTGTCATTTTCCGCCCTGCAACGAGGCCTACCGCTGCCAGGAGGCCTATCGCTGCCAGCTGGTGTGCGTGGATACCCTGTTAGGTTTCAATTCTGAGCTGTACATCTGATGACCAGAACCGAAGCCCAACAACCGAGCCTCGCCTTGTTTGGGCCTGAAACCCTTCCCTCGGTATCTCGATTGGCTCTATCAAGTAACGTGAACTTGGCTAGCATGATGGGGCCTCGATCTGGGGGAGCGTGGGGAGCAAATCACAAACGCAATCTCGAATCTAGCTTGGCTCCAATGGATCCACGATGTTACGGTTCAGGGTGACAACCGACAGGCCTAGAGGTCTCCACATGGCGTTTGCTGTACAACAGGGCGGCAAGCCTCATCAGCGAATCATCGTCCGCATGGAAAGCAAGGCTCTTGGTATGGGCAGTTGTCCCAGCCTTGGGTCTCGTTAGATCAGGGCGTACATGCTTAGGCATTAGCAGGACCCTCGGGGTTTGGGCTGCGAGAGCTTGCCGAGCAGTCTGGCTTATCACTCCCTGATCCACTCGTCAAACTCAAGCCAACCACCACCATCAACCCCCCCATGATGAATCTTTGAATTATCTCGTCTTTTTCGTCCGTCACAACACCCTCCCGACAAGATGGACGTGGATAACGACGTCTACGTTGATGCTGCTGAAACGCAACCTGCGCAGGGAAATGATGAAGCGCGCCACCCGAGACTCGAACCACCCGTTGCTGTGGCCTCGACGGGCTCAGACATGGATCTGGACGAAAATACGGAGGCAAGAGATGTTGTCTCTTTGAAGTACATCGAACGATTACTCCTTCTCTGCGGGCCAGTGATGCTGATAGCACCCATACCACAGTGACGATGACATTGTGATTGCTCTCATGGGCGTCACCGGCTCTGGGAAGAGTACTTTCATCTCGCTGCTGGCGGAGCAGTCGGTCCAGATTGGTCACTCCTTGAATTCTTGTATGATGCCTCCCCTCCCCCGCACAGCCACAGAAAAGGGGATATTCTTCTCAAATCACGATGGACAGAAACTTACCCTGTTCTTGCAGGTACCGCCGATATTGGCATCTACAGTTTTCAATACGGTGACCGGACGGTCTACCTTATTGATACTCCGGGATTCGACGATACCTCGCGTTCTGATACCGAGATCCTCAAGGAGATCGCCTTCTTCCTTGCGGCCATTTACTCAAAGAAGGTCCGGCTTGCGGGGATCGTCTATCTCCACCGCATCACCGATCCGAGGATGCAAGGGTCGGCGCTCAAGAACCTGCACATGTTCCAGAAGCTGTGCGGAGATCGCGGCCTCTCGAGCGTGGTGCTCGCCACCACCATGTGGAAGGGCCTCGACGCCACCGAGGAGGGCCGACAGATTGGCCAGCAGCGGTCGGAGGATCTTCAGAAACCCGAGTTCTGGGGTGTCATGATCAAGCGTGGCAGCCGTATCATTAAGCACGACGGCAGTCCCGAGTCGGCCAAGTCGATCGTTGGCAGCCTCATCGACGGCGCAACGAATGGCGCCGAGGGCCAAGGCTCTCGTGGTGCCGTACTCGACATCCAGGTTCAAATGGTGGACGAAGGAAAAACCCTCGACGAGACAGCTGCTGGCCAGTTCGTCCAAGCCGAGATGCTCGAGGCCCGACGCCGTTTCGAGGCTGATCTGGTCGAATACCAAGCTAGCATGGAGATGGCCCTCCAGGAGAAAGACACCCAGATGTTTGAGCTCCTCCGCAAAGAGAAAGAGGATGCCGAGCGGCGAGCTGCTCAGCTCAACACGGACCGCGACCAACTGCGTGTCTCGCTGCAGCAGCTGGCGCGCGAAAAGGACGCTAAATACCAGGCGTTGGCAGCAGAGGTCCAGGCGGAACAGGCACGACAGAGCCGAGACCTCGATGACACCGCTACCGCCGTCCCCTCATCTGATCTTCTCCGGCTCGAAAACGAGATGGCCACTATCCGCCGTGAGCTCAGAGAGAGCGAAGCCCGTCATCGCCACAATATTGAGCGGCAGCGATTGACGCTGGAGCACCAGCTGGAAAGCGGCGTCCATCAGGAGCGCGTGCGTGGCACAGAACGTGAGGTTGCCCTTGTCAAGCAATTAGCTGAGATCGAGAGCAAGCTCGCGGCCGAAAAGCGCCGTAGCAAGAAGAAGCGGCGGGTACACCCGGTCGTTGCCATATGCCAAACGTTGGTCAGCAGTGTTGTTGGGGGTGGCAGTCAGGACCTCGGCAGTCTGGCGTATGGCGTGTTCAGCGAAGCTTCTAGAGGAGAAAGGGGATCCGATCGCTCCCATGGTCGTTATTGATGAACATGTTATAGCTGTAGGTGTATCTAGGGAGGGTCGGAATACTAGGAAGGGTGGTTGTAATTAGTTTGTTTCGTCCTTGTATGCATCGCCGCATTGTCTGTTCATCGCATTGCCTGTCTTGATGAAGAATAATTGAGAAGGGGCCAAGTGGGATCATCTCTGCTAAGGCCTTAGACTGTTCAGGTCTCCTGATCTTCTCGTTGGAACGTCTTATTGATAGCCAGTTTCCCTCAGTCCATTCCAATGCTCTCAAAAACCCCGGTCGTGATGATGGATGGCCTGCGTTGCAATGGCGGGAAACCGTCCTCGGTGGTATACCGGGATCGGGACTTCATCTTGGGAATATATGCATTCGAAAGCGGACAAAGAGAGAAGTTTGGTGATTGAAGGACCGATTTATCTGGATTTGTCGTGGTTACGGTGCAGGTGAGAGAGAAAGAGAAGAGACTGGGAGAGGACATTGGCGGGGTCATTTCCCGCTGTGATGCAGCTAAAATGGGGGCCCCACACACCCGAGCCTGCCTTATCTGTCTTCGAACACGCACTGTAGGTATGCGAATATTCCAAGCGGAGCAAAAGAATGTCAGCGGCAATACGCATCGATCGTCGAGATAAACTAGCTGTGTCGTTGCTAGTCATAATTTACCTCGTGTCCGCAAATAAACCCTGGCGCGGCTTCCGAGGGCTTTCTATCAGTGAGCCAGCAGCGTTCGACGCCCACACAGTGCATATAGCAAGGCCATTTTCCCAAGGACCGCAATTCACAGTTTCGCTCATTCTTGATTCCTGCCTTGGGTTCAGACGAATCATTGAGGATACTTTCCGCACGCACCGCACCATCTGGGAGGAAGCGAAGGACGGCTCCTTCTTCTCAACCACCACACCCTAATATTAAAAATATTACATAGATTACTAGCGCTCTTAGAAGGGAAAATGATGGAGCGGAGCGGATCGGCAGGCTTGCTCTCCGTTGGCGTTGGACAACTGAACATGACAGTCCAGGCCGCTCTTTTGGCGTTCACTGACGTTTCATCCGCCATGTCAGCAACTGAGCGGACTGCGCTTATGCCGGAGCCGGAGCCAGCTTGACTACGAAGTAGATATTATTTATATATTTCTGTTCCCGCCTCCATCCTGCTTTCCTCTTGTTGTTGTCGGCCTCTCTTCCTTTTGCATCTGCATCGGACCTGCTCGTCGCAAGCAATTGACGCACCGCACTTTGCCCAAGTAAAACGACGCGCCCCTGCGACACATCTATCAACGATTCCCGACCTTGACATCGAACGTGATCCCTCCCGGCGTAACCCACCCAGACGCGCTTCGGATCATGCGGCCGGAGTCTGTGGGTCCAGTGGAGGGGAGGGGCCGGGACTCGGCGGAAGTAACACAAGTGGGGGTCACAATCCTCGGGGACAGTCCGTCTTCTTCTTCAGGGGCGCGCCCACCAAGCGCCTTTCATAACGCTCAAAACAGGAGGGACTCTGACATTTTCTCGACTTTCTGGTTAAACATGGCTCCATGGAAGACAGAAAAGCCAAGGCCGGCGACGACCGACGAATATCTCTCCATCCTGGGGGACGCCGAGGAGACCGAGGAGGGTGTAAATGGCGACAGCATCCGGGGCGGTAAGCATAAGCGGGGGATACAATGGACATGGCCGACATGTTTCTTCGGCTTGATCTTGGTGTAAGCCAGCCAACCTTGCATCACATCACATCCCACCCACACACTGACCTCCCCAAAGAACGGTAACATATCTCCTCGTGAGATCCGCCGAGGCGATGGCGCATCGCTTCTTTGGAGTGCGCAACAGCAGGGGTGATCCGTTCGTGAACTGGGGCAAACCGGGTACTGGCACCGAAGAACTCGCCTGGTACCCAACAGACTTCCTCCGGGACGTCCTACCCGTCGCCTGCCACTCACACAACGATTACTGGCGCGAGATCCCCCTGTTCACGGCCCTCTACGCCGGCTGCACCGGTGTCGAGTCCGACGTCTGGCTACGCGATGGCGATCTCCTGGTCGGCCACGACACGGCCAGTCTACAACGCAACCGGACCTTCCAGAGCTTATACGTCAACCCCTTAGTCGAGATCCTCGCTCACCAAAACCCGTCGACGTCGTACTACAACGGCAAAACCAACGGCGTCTTCGACACCGACCCGGACCAGCCGCTGGTCCTGCTCGTCGACATCAAAACCGACGGCCCAGAAACCTGGCCGTGGGTCATGAAGCAGCTCGCCCCGCTGCGCGAGAAGGGCTGGCTCAGCTACTACGAGAACGACCAGTTCCACCAGCGGCCCATAACCGTCGTGGGTACGGGCAATGCACCGTTCGACCAGATTCTGGGCAACTCGAGCCGTCGAGAGGCTTTCTTTGATGCACCCCTGGACAAGCTGGAGAACTCGGGGTATAACTTGACCAACTCTTATTATGCCAGCGTCGACTTCTGGAAGGCCATTGGCGCGGTGTGGTGGACGCAGGGGCCGAGCAAGAGCCAGCTGGAGAAGATCCGGAGTCATATTCGCGAGGCGAAAAACAGGGGGCTGGTGTCGCGGTATTGGAGGCTACCATGGTGGCCCATCCATGTGAGGAATCAGGTTTGGAAGGTGCTGGTCGATGAGGGGATTGGGATGCTGAATGTGGATGATTTGGAGGCAGCGACCAAGAGGGATTGGACGAAGCGAGGGAAGTTTTAGAGAACGGCAGCCGAATGGGTTCGCTCATTGATACAGAAGAGACCAAGAAAGACTTTGGATGGTGATGGCAAACTATTACTAATAACAGAAGGGAGCCCGATAGGATAGGGTTGGTTATGACACACAAGAAAGAACTGGGATATCAGATTCCGTATCATCTGATGTTAGCCCCGCTCCCCCGAGTTTCCGGCTGATCTCCTGCGGGGGATAGGGTCCTTATGCATTCATCCACTTGAATGTGGGGTTAGTGAGCTCATACGTCCCATCCACCAGCAATATGCGGCCACAGCAGAGGAGGGGTTCGAGGGGTTCGAGGGGTCGAGGGGTCCATGGGTCCCTGGGAGTCGTACATGTAGAGGGGTCGTGTTATAAAGTGCTAGACTGCTGCGTCAACTCACTTCGGTCAACACCAGCCGAGACATACATCTGCATCACAAGCACGCAAGCAGCAAGACAGTCACTCATCACTCCTCATCACTCCTCAACCATCCTATCACCATGGCAGACCAACGACCCCGCCGCGGATCCATCATCGATATCGCTGAGCAACGACAGAATCTCGCTTCCCTCGATGTAAGCCTCACCCCGGCACGTCTCCCCATCACGCACCTTCATCCTTCATCACACATCTCCATCACGCAACTCACCTATCTCTCCCTCCTCACATCACATCTCACCAATCACAAAAACCAATCCTCATTGACACCACCCCCCTCCCCCCCTTACACAACAACAGTCCTCCATCATCGACCGCCTCCCGGCCTACTCCGCCACGCTCTTCGACGCCAAAACCCAAAAACGGCTCACCTTCGAAGCCATCGCCTCCCACCTGGGCCGCAGCGAAGTCGCCGTGACCGCCATCTTCTACGGGCAGGCCCGCGCCTCCCCAGAGGACGCCGAGAAGCTGAGCCGCCTGCTCGGCCTGTCGGCCGAGTCCCCGATCGCCGCCCAGATGATGGGCTTTCCGGACCGGGGCCAGGGCCCGGGGCCCATTGCCGCCGGTGGAGCCCGCTGATTTAATAGGCTGTACGAGGTGGTGCAAGAATTATGGGTATGCGTTTAAGGCGGTCATGAATGAGAAGTTTGGGGATGGGATTATGAGTGCCCATTTGCCTTTAATAGTAAGGTGGAGAAGGGAAGTGGTACGTTTTTTTGGAGTCTTTTTCCCTTTTTTGGTCTGCTTTCTTCTTCTTTCGGGCGGCTGAGGTCGGATTGTGTCGTCGGATGGCGGCCGTTCTGTCTCTGGCTGGTGTGGAGGTGGGTGTCGGATAGGGGGGGAGGCTTCGGGTCCTGGGGCTATCTTGGGCCGATAGGGAGTGTGTGAAAAGGCGGGGTGACGTGGCTGACGCTATTGGCCAGGATGAGACTGGCGCTGCGGTGGGTGGGTGATTACCGCTCAAGGGAAAAATGGTGAGTTATCCTTTTCCTTGTTATTGGTTCCTTCTCGGCTCCGGGGTGCGAGTGTGGATGTGGGTGAGGCAGGTATGCATCCTGCCTGCTGCGCTCTCCACGGTGACGGCATACCGAGACTTGTCGGCTCCTATCATGCTGCCTCGGGATAAGCTGTGGCCTCGGGATATCTGTCGCCTCATTGCAGGTCATGCCGCTCCGCTCACCTCGCTTCCGAGCTGTGTGGTCGAGTCTGCCGTGATTCTGCAACTCGATGCATCCAGACGCCTTTGCTGATTACTGGCTGGACGACTAGGCTCCCTTTCAGTCGGTTCTAGATGCCCAGTCGGGAATATTGCTGCGTAGGGCACTGGCGAAAGCCGTTTAACTGCTTGGAATGGGCCATTCACGGGGGCCGAAGGTGGTCTCAGACGCGGTAACGGTTTTGTTTGAGGCGGTAATGTCCGAACGGCAAACACCAGTTGTTTTTCTCCGTTCGGAATATGAGTATGGGATAGGGCTAGTCGAACCTGGACGATGGAGGTCGCCTCAGCGGATTTGATGTTATTTGCGGGCCGGGGTTGCACTTGCTTGACAAACAAGGACCGGGGTCAACAATACTAAGGGGTTCAGGGGGGAACAATACTAAGCCCCACGCCACCATGACTTCGACCTTGGCGACTTGCAAGGCATGTGGCAACTTCTTAAATCCGAATCCACCATTATGGGCAATCAAGCAGATCGAGGAATGTAAACTAATGGCGACTCGTGCTTCAAACGCTGTGCATGTTCTCGGGAGAGAGGTCTAGAGGCATCCCTATCGCATCACCGGCACCGACGTCACCTTGTTTTGAGGGGACAATACTAAGCGCACAATACTAGGACATTCGCCCCTCATGGGGACGATCTCTTTCTGCATGTTTGTCCTCCGGAACACCAAAGAGAGGGGTGTCAAAGAATGCGATCGGGCCGAGAACGCTTGCCATTATCCGCGTAATGTAGGACAGCGGGAGGGATAGTAGCGATGCCCATCGGAGCGAGGGAGGGAGGGACTTTCGAGTGTGGCCTCGATGTTCACGAGATAAAGATATAAATTTCCTCTTCATCCTCGATCCAATATCAGACTTCTCCTTGTTCATCAGAGCATCATCACAAACATTCAAGACATCAAGACAACTACAACTCTTCAAACAAAACCCCCCCCAAACAATCAACATGCCTTCCACCACCACCCAGACCAAGGTCCCCCAGACCTCCACAAACTTCAACGGCTACTGCGTTGTCATGTAAATGACAACCAGGGAAAACCCGGTGCTGGCGGCCGTGTATGAGCCGCATCTCCTGCCTTCCACCACAAGAGGGTCCTCTTGACCTCTTTTAACCACCGAAACACAACCCATCCCTCGCTCAGCACAAGACCACCACCACAACAACCCCAAGGGAATAGTCCTCCGATACTCTAGGACCTTTCCCTAGCCCGCTGAGCCCTAGGGAATCAGGAGATGCCCTCGTCACGCCCGACCACCACCACCCACCACCACGTCAAACCGGCTTCAACAAAACCCAAAACGTCAAACCCGCGACCCACCAACCCACCATCAACCCACCGCCCATGCCGCCATTCTCTTTTTTCTTCTTCTTCGGATTTTTTTTACTTTTTTGTCATACCACTACGGCGACCAGGCTCGCCCGTCTCGTCTTTCCGCTCTTCTCTCGGCCTCGACCCACAACCGGTCATTTATCAGCACCCTTTCGTCACCACTCCACCTGCCAGCGGGGCTAGTACGCGATGTCGTCTCGCAGGCGGGTGGAAGATAAGGATGAGGAGATTCGCGCCCTCCTTGTTCTCGTTCTGAGATGCTGGATGGTCTTTTTTGCTTTGGGATGGCTGGAGGGGACGGGATGAGGGATAGGGGGAGATTGTTCGCTTTTTTTCTAACTGGTATGTGGAGGAGGATGGTATCTAGCAATTTGAAGCCGGTTTTGACACTTTTGGTTTTCTGCTGCGCTGTGAGTGACTGTTTGCGATGTGTGACTGGGGGTGTGGTTGAGGTTTCAGGGGTCGAGGCTCAGGGGCTCGGTCTCAGGGGCTTGGGGGTGTGGTCGCCCGCGATCGGAAATACCACACAACAGCACTAGTAATCTAATTCTCCTCATCACAGATGGAGCACCTTGGCCTCCATTACCATATTTTGCCAGGCCACGGGTCTGTAAAACAATTACCCGTCTGGACGCTGCATGCCAACTGCTCAAGCCGACATTGTTTCCACCACCATCACCACTGGACTATGACCAACATGGCGTGGACCATCCATGGATCTCTCCGACACTGCATAATTGCTCTCTTGCCCTCTGGCTCACGGCGACCAAGTCCGTTCTCAGGGTCCACATCCTTAAGCCCTGAGACCGAGCCCCTGACTTCGAGGGTTCCAAAAGGTGGAGACTATATAAGTTTTATTTTTCACTCCTGCTTTCAACAGTTAAGTGCAAGCCCGCATGGCTCAGTGGTAGAGCGTGTCACTAGTAAATTCTCTATGACAAGGTCACTAGTTCGATTCTGGTTGTGGGCAATAAACCCCGGAAGGGGGGTAAATGCTTTTTTCCACCTGTGCATTTTTTTAGTCAAATTTCACACATACCTGGATTTCGTGTGCTCGGTGTCCGTTTTTTACCCGGTCGGTTGCTCTTTCACTCCCCAGGGCGCAGGATCTCCCAATGGTCGGTTTAATGCACGGGCCAAACTTAGCTTATCTTGACACCAAAGCACAGCTGCAGCCAACCCATGATCCCCGACAAAGAACGACAGACAGTGGGCAGAACTCAGTTAAGTACGTAGTCGACTTAAAATATCAACGCTCTCTACTCACCTCCTAACTAATTTTTGAACCTGTCCGGCTTTTAAACAACTTGAAATGAGCGGCTTGGGTGGTCACTTACACAGCGAACATCGAATGGTTGCTTAGGTAGGGTTAGGGTTGTGTAGGAGAATGCCGGCCGGCCTTTGTCTTCCCCACCATTCCAAGTTGTAACTATCTTATCTTATCGCTCAATCGCAGCAGCCGGCCAAAAAAAGTTTCAGAGGCTGGCTTCTCTGCAGATTGCAGGTGCATCAATTCATCGTCCCCACCATCATCACCTGCAAAATGGCGAAGAAAGGAGCGGCACAGTCCCCCAAGACCGGGCCGAAGTCCAAGTCGCAAATCACGAACAGCAAGTCAAATAAGCAGAAGGGCAACAGGAGAAAGTCCAATGAGCCGGCTGTGGAGAAGGTAGTCGACGAGGAGTGGGAGGACGAAAGTGACGAGGAAGAGTTCGAGGTCAATGGCAGCAGCGCAAACAAGAGGAAGGCCGAGGGTGAAGTCGATGAAGATAGCGACTCAGATGAGAGCGGGGACGACCTGCACGGCGGTATCGACCTGGCGGGGATAGACGACTCCGACTCGGAATCGGAACTTGATTCGGACGGAGGCCCCGAGAATCGCGACGACGACGACGACGACGACGACGACGAGGAGGAGGAGGATATTGACGTCGACGAGCTCTCAGAGCTCGATGAGGAAGATGAGGAACAAATTGCCGCCGGCACTCGCGTCCGCCAAACAATCAACAACAAGGAAGGGCTCCTCGCCGCACTCCGGCGCTTTGCCCTCAATACAAACCCCAAGACCGTCCCCTTCGCCTTCCACCAATCGGTAGTCTCTTCTAAGATTACCGAGGAATCCATCCCCTCCGTCGAAGACGACCTGCAGCGCGAGCTGGCCTTCATGAACCAGTCGCTCGAAGCCGCGCGGCAGGCTCGCACACTGCTCCGCAAGGAGGGCGTTCCCTTCACGCGACCGACCGACTTCTTTGCTGAGACGGTGCGCAGCGATGAGACAATGCAGAAGGTTAAGGCCAAGATGGTCGAGGAGGCGACCGCGAAGAAGGCGTCGGCCGAGGCGCGCAAGCAGCGCGACCTCAAGAAGTTCGGCAAGCAGGTCCAGGTACAGAAACAGCAGGAGCGTGCCAAGCAGAAGCGCGACACCCTCGAGAAGATCAACCTGCTCAAGCGGAGTACGTTGCCCCTATTCCCCCAAACACTCACACTCTCAAATACTAACATGGCTCTTCTTTTACAGAGCGACAAGAAGGCGGCTCTTCCGCCCTCGGCGCGACCGAAGCAGACGACCTCTTCGACGTCGCCGTCGACAACGAGCTCAAGTCGGCCGGCAACAGCAAGAAGCGCTCGGCCGGCGGCGACAGCCGGGGCCCGCCCAACGCCAAGCGGCAAAAGAAGGACGCCAAGTTCGGCTTCGGTGGCAAGAAGCGCCACGCCAAGTCCGGCGACGCCATGTCCTCGGGCGACCTGAGCGGGTTCAATGCCAAGCGCATGAAGAGTGGCGGCCGGAGCGGCGGCCCCGGTGGCAGGCCGGGTGGTGGTGGCGGTTCCGGTGGACCTAAGGGCTCAAAGCCGAGGTTGGGGAAGAGTCGGAGGCAGGCGGGGAAGAGGTGAACGGAACGGTGATCACGGGGTGGGTGAGGTGACTGGAGGAGGGGAGAGAAATATTGCGTATGTAACAAATACTGCTTGGCTGTTTAAACAGCGGGCTGGTAATGTTCGAGGTAGCTGCTCTGAATGGCGCCCGGTGTTTTGATGGGGTAGGAAAATTTAGTTTCAATACCCGCCTGTGATGTGTGTGCTCAAGGGTGTGCTCGTTGCCTCGTCCTGACTCAGTGGCCCTTTGTAGGCCTGACAAAGAGGAATTGGAAGCGTTGGATGATTCTCGATAACAAAGGCATCTACCTCATTGTCTGGCTCCCCCTCTTTGAGCCAAGGGCACCTCAAGGCAATAAAGAAGGGCTGTAACAATTCCAGGGGCATACCAGGCCCAAGTTGGTCACGAGGCATCGGGGACAGGAATGGTCCGGCAACTTCAGAATAGAGGAGTCATTGAGAATGCCCGTGGTAGCTCACTCCCATCGTATATACACGTTGAGCCATCTGGGCTCCCGTAGCCCTGCTTACCTTACCTGCCTGAACGCTAGCCAAGTAGCTGCTCGTCCAGATCAACACAACACAACGTAGCGGGCAGCGTTCCCATTCTCGCCAGCCACGGTATCCAATGCCCACCTCGACAGCCGAAACCAGTCTCTGGCTAGTAATCACGACACAGGTATCCCATCCAACCACGCGCCCAAAGCACACTCGCACCTCGGGGTATCCAGAATTTTGCATGCAACAAACAATCGCACCTCGGCATCAACCCTAAGCATTTTCCAGCCATCTCACCCTATCCCCGCCTCACTAGCGTACCGTGTAGACGGGCCCAATCCATGTGTTCGTCCCATCTCTTCACCCACCGTTGGAAGCAACCCCGCCCGCTCCCAGACCGCAAATAGCGGATCTTGGGCTTCCAGTCTCGACCGACGACGCCTGAAACAAACACGTCTCAAGTCGCAAAACCAACCAACGACAACACACTTTTTTAAGCCACCACGCAGTCGGTAGCGGGATTCATCAAGAAAACGGAGAAATGAAAGCGAGAAACAAAAAGTAAAAGAGAAGGGGAGTGAGTCAGAGATTTCAACGTCAGGCCATGCATGTCAGTCATATCATACGAGTAGAAAACAACAGTCCAGGAAACAAGCAAAACAGACCGGGAAAAGTCAAGGGGAAAAGGATAAGAACGCCGCGCTAGTGTTGCTCCCGCCTAAGATAATAATAATGTCATATACCTCCAACCCCCGTCAATCCAACTAACCCTCCCACAATTTCATACCCTCCCCAAGTTAAAGTCAAGAGAGCACAGTTTTATCACATCACACACACAGACACACGCAAGGAGATCACCCCATGGTATAAAAAGGTAGGTACCCGTAGTAGGTTGGGAAAAAAAAACAAGAGGGATTCGTTCGTTTCGTGCCTGGCTACGGTACGGTACCAAGGTATGATGAATTCCATGCGCGCCCTGCCATTGACTCAAAAAAAGCTCAAGTCGAGTTTGCTAATAGGGAAAACCAAAAACCAAAACCAGAAAAAAGAAAAAAAAGCGGCGTCTGCCTGCCTGGAAAAGCCTGAAAAGGCCTAGACGGAAAAGAAATCCTCGTGGTATCGTGCAACGCCAACCATGCTCGCGGAGGTAGCCGTCCGTGTGTGAGAGTGTGGACTGATAGAGAGATATGATATGTTGTGCTGTGCTGAGTTGTGTTCACCATGAATCGCCATGCTGCTTTATTTTGCCGGAGTGCCCGCTCAGAAAGGAGATGGCCAGATAGATAGACATTATGAGGATAACGCCATGAAAGGTGAGGGCTTGGTGTGTATCCCGGCGAGAATGACTCAAAAAACGAACCGGGGGGTATCAATAGAACGACCATCATGCCCGATACCGGATAGAAGCGACAGCTTTTGTGTGCTGTTCCGGCTCCGGCTCTGGGTCTACGTAGTTTTTTCTCTCTGACTCGTCCGTCAGAATGCTCAGAATCTGTAGAATGCTCCGAATCTGCGTAGTGCGCCGGCTCTAGGTGTTGCTCCCGGCCTGCGTACTGCTCTGACTGTGGTACCGGTTCTACTTGGCGTCCTGACTCCGCTTGTCCCTTCATCATTGCGTGGCGGCGATGCACCAGTGGCGATGGAACGCCCAGGCGCTCTTCTGGCACTCCTTGCTGCAGTACTTGGTTCGGCGGCAGCGGCGGCACTTTGCGAACTGGCGGGTGAACTCCTCCCACTTGCCACATTGGTAGTAGGCGCACTGCCGGATCCCCCCCCGCGTGTCGTCCTTGCGGCACAGGTTCCTCATAACCACCCCCGCCCAATATTGCATGTCGGTGCTGTGATACCTGACAGTGAACTTCTCCACCAGCGGGAAGATGTTTAAGTCGTTGGGTAGGCAGTACTCCTCCTCGAGGGCTTCGTCGTCCTGCTCCAGTTCGGCCTCCAGGGCGGCAGGGTCGGCGCCATCCAAAAGCTGGATCTCTTTCCCAATCTTGAGCTTGGGGACGAGATGGCTCCTCTGAAAATATTTCCTTAAGTTGCAGTATTTGGAAACGTATGCAAGAAGTTGTAAAGACATCAAGACGTCTTCTTCCCGCGGCATAGCGGCAAGCACTTGCGGGTTACGGCTGACTTGGCGATCGAGGAGATAGCGTGGTACGCTCGCATTCGGCATAGCTGGCTGTGGCGGGGTCACCAGGGTTGGTCTGTTTGGGGACAAGCCAATGTTTGGCACAGGCGTCGGGGTAGTGTTCGTGGGAACACTGCCGTCGACCGGGCCCTGGTGTGTGATGTTGAAAGTGCCAGTGTCCTGGGCCTCGGACGCGGTTGGAGTTGTTAGGTCAATGGCCCCGCCTGCCATGATGCTGTCTCCATCTTCCACCGCGACATCCTGGACGTTGACCTCGGGTTGCATGTCGTTCGTGCCGGACATCTCGGCGTCTGGCGAGTCTTCCGAGGTGATGCTCTCCGCATTCATATCATCGGGCTCGGCGGCCGTCGAGTGTTGATGGCGAATTGAAGGTCTCCTCCTAGACCGAGCCGTCGCAGCCAGCATGGAGGTGGGCCGCACGGTCGGAGACCGAATTTGTGGGGGCGGGAGGGGAGTTGTAGGAGAAGCTGGCTGGGAGGTGATGGCGGATCGGGAAAACGGAAGCATGCTGCCGAGACGGTCGGCGTCTCTGATGGGCCTAGCGAAGCCGTCGGCAGCATCCATAGACGGGACAATCGGGGCGAGCGGCGCGGTCTGAGGCCCCGGAGAGGCAACGCGATGACGGTGGTGGCGGTGGGCGGTCAAGGGAGCGCGGTCGGCGGGAGGCGTCACCTGGAATTGGGGAGCGGTGGGTGTCGGGTCGGCATTAGAATGAACCACCCCCGTGGACGGCCCGGCCAGGGCCGCAGACACATCGATGGATGGGGGAGGCGCTTGCCTGCGGAAAGTCCGTTGGTCCACATCCAGTGTCCCCGATCGGGAGGAAAAGCTGGATGATTTGTGCACGCGACTGCTCCCGCCTATCCGGTGGCGGTGATGGTCCTTTTGCTTGGCTTCCTCTGCCTTTTCCCGGACCTTCTCAATGACCTTGATGTAGTTGTCGAGAATAGTCGCTATGACCGGAACCATGTCGGCCTCCACGACACGGGTCCGGACGGCCTCAGTGCCCCTAACTCCGATGTTGACGACACATTGGAAAGCCAGATTCCACTTCCACATATCCATCATATCCTTGCTCCGCCCCTCTTTCAGGATGCAGACCAGCCTTTCAATGCCGCCATCGACGGTAAGGATGTCGCGGATTCTAGCCGAAGATGTGGTGAGGTAGGCGAGATGGTTGAGAGAGTTGATCAACGGGAGGGTCGAGGTGCAGTCGAGGGCCCGTCGGTCATACAAGGCCGTGGTGATGCCCACGGATGCCTTGTTGACATTGGGTATGCTAAAGTTGGCTTCCCTCATATTGGCTTGTCTCTATGAAGCACGAGGTAGGCGCCGGGGTAGGGAGAGGGGGTGGGTGGACGGCCGACGAAGAGGAGGCGGCCGTGCCGTTTTGGATCACCAAGAACGTGTTTGTCGCGGTCGGAGAGTGGCCAAGATGGGTTGCCCTATCTGTTATTAAAGAATGTTAGAAATGAAACGCATTTCCCAATATTATGCGCCTGTGGATGACGGGGGGTCGATCGTACCCGGCTCTAGCCCCAGCGGACTTGTGGAAGGGCGGAAACTCGCTCGATGTGTCGATACCGAGAACGCTCGGGCAGACAAATTGACTGCAACGGGCAAGCGCAAACAGGGTCGGAAAAGAGAACAAAGTATTTGGTGAATATAACGGTATGGGAGAGAGAGATGGAAAGCCAGGGGCTTTTGTTGGAATTGTCAGTCGGCCGGGTGCGGGCTAGGTTCGATTGATGGGCGGCGGATCGAGTCAGGGTCTTCCCCAAATGCCTCAGCAGCGCGGCAGGCAATCGATAATGCGTGGATTCAAACAACGATTGTGATGGTATGCAGGTAAATAGGGTTGCCCCCAAAAGGCGCAGATGGCAAATGCAGAAACCGGTCGCTGCAAGGAGGCGGTGGGATGGAGAAGAGGAGATGACCGGTGCTCGCCGTGCCTGATGCAGGTGGTATGAGAGGCTGGGTGAATGGGGTTTGAACAGCAGGCAGAGCGGCTGGTTTTTTGCGTCCCAAAGCCGGCCCTGACCCCCGTCTTCAACACTGTTCCAGGTGCACAGCGGGTGGATCAGTTGGTGCCTGAGGCTGCAGCAGGGGTTCGTCTGTTTCGATCTTGGAGTCTTGGACCCTAGGGGTACTTTTTCTAGTGCATGGAACGGTAATATAAGTTCTCAGCCCACTTTTCAGACGACATGCATTTTGTTCTGACTGAGTTCATGATATGTGACGAGGCAAGAGTTGAATTAATACTTTCGTGGTAAGGAAATCCTAAGGCTTCCCGCAACCCCGATTTGATGACGGATGTGTCTCCCGAGGCAAGAGCGGAGACCACAACCTAGTTTGAGGTTGGGCTCAACCGTCCAAGAAACGTTGGAAGGGGCAAATTCACAGCTGCGGGGGTAACCCGAAGGGAGCGCGATCACCCACCCGATTCTTGAAGAACAAGAGGCAAGCACATGATGAGTGTGTACACTCAGCTAGTTTCATGGGCCTCTATTCAAGCAAATTGCAAATCGCAAGGCCATTGCTTGCTCGCCGACCTCAGCAATCCGGCGTGTACTAAGTTGAGATTTAGGCGAGGCCGCTTTCCGTTCCCTCTGTAACCAGATTCCGGACCTCTTGTCCTCCTCATCGACCGCGATCGCCGTCTAAGTGGCCACAGATCACGCGTGCAACATACCGATGGCGGCCGAAGGGCCAAGGAAGCTGACCTCCAGCCTCTCGCACCGTATGCGTATGGGCTAGCATTTCCCGGGCCGTTTTATATCCACCGCTGTTCTGGTTCGCTGGTGGTGCTGTTTCGCGAGACAGCGCTGAACACCCGTTCGCTTCTGACAAATTCAAGGGTTTGGCGAGTCTTGGCGCTTCGTGCTTGCAGCGTCCCCTCTTGCCGAGCGGCGCGCCTCTCCACTGGCCACGAGAGGGCCGACGCTGTGTGACCTTGGCCAACCGGCTCAGTCGGTTGGGAGACACTGGCAGTTTGACTTCAACCTCTCCTTAGGTGGTCGGCAACCTTGATGGCCTGCAGAGGCTCGGAATTGGGCAAGCGGTCAACGGCCGTCTGAATCTCAAAAAGGTCGATCTTCCGCTCTGGAACCTGGCAAAGCCTGGGTCCCCACCACCACCTCGTTCTTCACGCCACAAGCCCGTGCGCACCCTGGATGGCCGAAGAGGTCCCTGCCCGCTCTTCAAACCAACCCCCACTCCGGAAACGCTTGGCGACCTGGCGACGTCCGAAATCGCCATCCCGCTGAAGCCTGGCCCTCCTTGCCTCCTCAAAATTGCCCCTGAGATCGCGAAGGTTGATCCCTGGTTGCGAGTTTTGCAAAAATAAATGCAAAATTTCCATCGTCGCGCCACCTCGGGAGGACGCCTAGAAGGAGTCACGCTATCACAAAGTGTAATCTGTACGAATAAGTTCTGGAGCAAAGTTGCTTGTTGTCTCAGCTCAGCCTTCTCGGAAAGATTAAAATACTCGGCCACCCCGTTGCAGATCACGGTCAAGGCGAGCCCGAGCCCCGTCCAGATCCAAGCCTACGGGGTAAAAATAATTAGCTATGTCTCTACCTGAAGCATAGTTCATCACCACACACTCGACAAGTAAATCAAAAACATCGAACATCGGTTCATGTGTGAAATGGCCTCCATCACACAATTGATATCGACGGACTTGTCATCAACAATCGCCTCCTCCGGGCTGGCCAAAACGGATATGACGTAACGGCCGGATCCAGTCAGCGACCAGGTGAGTGCGTACCCAGCGGATACCTCCACCGAACGCCACGCATGGGGTCACCTCACCCACCAAGGCCACCCACCGAAGGCCACCCGGCCGGGATCGCCCCCAGCACGGCAGCGGCTCAGACTCGCATCAAACTCCAAGTTCGCCTTGTCGCCTTGTCAGTAAGCAACAAACGCGCGCACACGCGCCAAAGGCGTTCCTCCAGGCCCCCAAACCCCGGGATTTGTCACGGGGAGAAGCCACAAAACATCGCAGGGCACAATTCCAACTGTTTCGACAGCCGCGCCCAAATTAGCAATTACCTGATTCGCTGAGAGATGATGACCAGAGCACTCACCTAGTGAGCTTGAGCTCTGGGCGAAACCCTGCATGTCCCACAGCGCTTAAATCGACAGCATCGGGCCCAATCAGCAGTCTGTTTCAAGGTCAGCAGTGACTTGGGTCGGGCTGCACTGCAGCGCCCTAATCGCGGAATGCATGCAAGGGAGGACAGGACGGAACCGGGCATGCGGAATTCACAGCTCTGTTCTCATTGCTGGGGCAGGGTACGAAGGAACAAACGTCGGTCCAGCCAGCCACACGCAACAGCGGCTATGGACATGGTGTGTGTGGCTGACGACAAACAAACAGAAGTGCAGACTCAAGCCGACCAGCGCTATATTGTGCTAACCATCTTATAAAACCAGCTATCTTTGCAGAACTAACTCACCAACCATGGAAATAGGTAGGAAGGTACCAAAATAAACAACCAGACACCTCGCCTCCCTCCCCCCCCCCCCCAAACAACAAGAAACCCCTCAACGGCGAAAATCCCCCCGAAAAACCACCGGGTGGTGGCCCGTCGAAAACGACCCGGGCCGCTGCCGATAATGGTTTGCCGGCGGCGGGGGGGGGGGCTGCTGCTGCTGCGGCTGGTGTTGGTAGTAGTGGTGGTGGGTCGTCGAAACCGTTCCCCGCCGTGGGGGCTGCTGTGCTTGCGGGATTGGGACTGGGGCCGGGTGGTGAGGGTGCGACCAGACGGAGCCGCGCCGCTGTCGGTGGTGGTGTTGGTGCGTGGGGACCTGGTGCTGCTGCTGCTGGGGCACCCGGGTGGCGCCGGGCCCGTAGTGGGTGATTCCCGAAGGCGTCAGTGGTGAAGGTGCCTCGGCGCTGAACCCTGGGGCTGGGGCTGGGGCTGGGGCTGGGGCTGGGGGCCGCTACTGCTGCTGGTGCGGCTTCTCTGTAGAGCTGCGCCGCTGCTTGGGAGAGGAGCTCAGCGGCGGCGCCCCGCGCCGGCGTCCGCGCTGGCGTTTGGGTTTGGGTAGCGCCCTTTGGCGTTTGGGTCGGGGAGAGGCGCCCTCCGGGTGGTCGCAGCCCACGTACACCGCGCGCTGCTGCTTGGTGAGGGTGGCGCCCGGCCGCGCCCCGGGACCCTGCGCGTCTTGGGCCGCCCGCCGCTTCTGCTGCTCCAGGAGGGCGGTCCATCGCGCGTGTTCGTGCTCGCGCGCGTTCCTGGCGGCCTGGTCGCGCTCTCGCGCCTTCTCCGCCATGTACTTCCGGGCCTGCTCGCGGTCGAAGTCGGCTTTGGCGTTTTGGAGGCTCCGATGCTTGGCGATGAAGGCCTTTGTCCAGTCGTAGTTGAGGATCTGGTCCCGTTTGGCGACCCAGAGCTCGTACAGCGAGTTGACGACTGAGTGGGAGGAGGGGCGGTCGCGAGGGTCCCACGCGAGGCACTCGTCGAGGACGGCCTGGAGGTTCGGACTGTAGATGGTCGGTATCCGGGGGTAGACGTCCGCCATGGGTGACTGGTGGTTGTGGAAGAACAGCTCCGGTGCCGAGGTGCCGACCGTCCACCTGGCGCCCGGGGCCATCGAGTACGCCGATCTATTGACCTGGTCCTCCTCTATTCGGCTGAGGCCGAAGTCGGTGAGGACGACGAGCCGGTCGTCTTTTTGGAATATCTGTCGGAGAAACGCCTTCATGTGGGACTCCATATCTGGGCTGACCCTTTTCGTCTTGCTCAGCTCCCACAGGGCCAGGTTCATACTGGGCGTGATCTTCAGAGTCAGCAGGATGTTGTCGAGCTTGATGTCCCGGTGGAGGATGCCGCGCTCTTGGATCTCGGAGAGTCCCCAGGCCAGCTGTAGGGATATGAGGTAGACGATGGCCGGGTGGATTCGCTTCGGAACCTTGGAGGTTTCTATGTTGCGCACGAGACGGTACAGGTCGCCGCCCTCGAGCAGTTCCGTGTAAATACGGATCTCTTTATCCCTTGGGTTTATCGAAGCATCGTACACCCTCGCCACGTAACTTGTCCCCTCACATGCTTGGCGCCAGACATAGAGCTCCCGCTTTCTAGGCCAGTCCTGCATCGTGGTGGTCACTTTTTGTAGCTTGCATGCCATAAGCTAAAATGGGAGTGGCCGTTTGTGTCAGTTTGTTCGAGCCATAGTAACCTATGTTCAGAGTTTGGAGAGGTTACCCTGTTGTCCCTATAGTAGGTTACCTTGAAAACCTCGCCGTAGCTGCCCTTGCCGAGGGTCTCTCCTTTCTGGTAGTACCTGGAGTCATCGTCTTGGATCAACCTCAGAAAGTCATCTCTGGAAACTCCAGCCGACATGGTAGGGAAACTCGGATTAAGGGGGGTGAATGAGATTGTAGAGTAGGAAGTGCCCGACTTCTGTTGTGTTGCGGAGCTAAAGTGGCCCCAAGTAACTTGAATAAAGAACGAGGAAAGGAGCACAGGTTTGCGGTGGCAGACCATAAACTGTTCAACGGGTTGGATGAGGGCGAGTGACGAGAAGAGTGACACAATATTGCAGTGAACTCGAATCAAGCCCTCTTTATACCCCCTTGCTGACCATACCGCCAACCCAGAAGGTCTTCTAGGTGCTCGTAAACGGTTGTGAACTAGAAGCTCATGTCAGTTTCATGGACTGGCCGGGCCACCTTCGCAAGACGAAAGTAGCATGAAGCTCGGGTATACGCATGGAGATATCTGGAAACATTTCGTCTTCTATATCTGTTAAGCGGATTTGTCGGGCAGAGTCATGTCATCATGGATACTTCTCGTATGTACCTCATATTGAGGTTGGCGCCGGGACATGAAATTTGACAACAGGTCCAGCTGTGGAATGCGAGATAGTCGATGCGAGATTTGAGTACATGTGGCTATGCTGTGGTTTGATGATATTGGAAAGATTGTAACTGGAAAACACCAAGTGATTGTGAGGAAGTCAATTAAAATTGTCTATGCAAAACGAAACAATGGCGGTTGAGAACTGGCAAGCGAAATTGTCACTGTTATCTATTCACCGGGCTTATAAGTTTAGTTTCTGCAACCAACTTTCGAGTTAGCCTTTACCAGGGGCCGCCTGGTCGAGTGGAACTGCGTTGCGCTCAACGCAGTACCGTTGCCCAGAAACTGTCGAGTGCCCATGCGCGGTATGGCAGACAAGACGGTTTCGTAGGTCGCCTGGTTCTGAGTTCGATTCGGATTTGGGCCAGGGGGCTGAGCTTTTGCCCTTCCCGAGCTTTTTGTAACCAGTTCTTTCCGCACCGGGTGGACGGGGCTGGGGGACGAGAAGGGATGGAAAGGGAAGGACTCCCGTTCTTGTAGATAGCCTCTCACAACCTCTGTCGACTGACATGTTTTCTATCTCCCAACCAGTAGTAGTAGCCCGAGCGATAAGGACACCATCATTAGTACATAGTAGATCGTAGAAGCCACAACTCATGGGGTATATCTAGTCATAACAGCGCACATCGACGCCAAATTAATAGTCCCGTTACACCCAACCCTCCTTCATTAAGCCCTGAACCAAAACACCAAAACTCCCAACTTCTATGTAGCGTAGTATGTATATCCACCTCCCACCCACCACCTTTTAATCCCCACTAACCTGCGCATGCCTAAAATACTTCATTCCCGTCCACGCCACCACCACCCACACCCAGGCCATGACGCCCGTCAGGATCATCAAGGCCGGATAGTACCCGACAATGGGCAGGGTGGGATCGTCCTCGAGTTCGGGCGGGGCGTAGGGGGTGGTGCCGACGTCCCAGGCCCAGCTCCAGACGCCGAGGCACGAGCCCATGCCGATAACGAACACCGTCCAGGTGACCACCAGAATGATCCAGCCCCACCACTCCGTCTCGGCGTAGTCCCAGTCTGCGTCGGCTTGGGGTAGCGGTGCCGCGAGCGAGCTCAGCCCGAGCGGGGATTTGGCCCGCTGGATGGTCGCGCTGCGCCGGCGTTGGAGGGATGGTAGGGTGCCGATCGCGCTGGACGCGCTGCTGAGCCCGGGCGGCCGGGTGAGGTAGTAGGACTCGGAGCCTGAGGAGAGGGAGGCGCGGTCCGGGCGGAGGAGGCTGATGGCCGAGGAGGAGGAGAGCGAGAGCGAGGGGGTGGTTGCGCGTGGGATGGCGAGGGAGGGTGGGCTGGGCCGGGCCATGTGCAGGGTGTCTTCGTCGTCGGTGGTGCTGTAGCTTATGCTAGGCCTCTTGTCGGCGGCAGTGATGATGGGCGGGTTGGAGGCTGTGGTTCCTAGGTGGTTGGGCGCTAACGCAGCGGTGGGTGTTGCGTCGGGGTCCGAGGTCGAGGTGTGCCCGTCCATGCTGGAACGAGTTTTCTGGCCCGTGATACCAAGTCCGTATGGTTGACCGGCCCCGCCGCTTTTTGGAATCGGAATTGCGTTGGGACTTCCGTCAATGGGCACAGGACTTGATGCGAGGGGCCCTGTGCCTGTAGCAATGATCTCATAGGGTGTCCCGTTACTCCCGTCGTCGAGTGTAGTATCAATTGTTAACCCCCGTCCCTCGCGCCGCTCGCGCTGGGCGCCCCTTCCGAGCAACGCAACTTTCCGCAATGACCCCCTACGTCGTCGTGTTTTTTGTTGCGCTGTTTGGTGTTGAAGTATATGAGGCAGCGGTGCCGTCGTGGGGGGGGATGCAGGGACGTGGTTCTGGGGTGCGTCGGCAGGGATCGAAGTGAAGGATGGTATCGGCAGTGTCGGGGCCGGGACAGCCGGGTCTGCCTCGAGGGTATTGCGGCGGGATCTCGGTCGGTGTTCACCTGTGGAGCGCATGAAGGGAAGCTTGGACAGCAGCCCACCTGCCCCAGACGAGCTCCGCTTCCTCCCCGGAGCTGGCGGGCGGTTTGAGTTGGAGGCGGGAGGCGCATCGGGCGTGGTGGGCGCTGACGTAGGTTGTTCCATGGCGAATGGAATTTGGAGGTCGCAGTGATGTGGTACATCCAATGTACCTTACGTATCCGTACTCCTCTTGCTTGGTGCGCTGGTGTGTACAGATTTCGTCTGTACCAGTTGAGCACCTGAGATACACTGATTCCTCAATTCCCGAGCGCTCTTGCTTGCAGTTTACACCTCCCAACAGCCACTGCTAAGCGCTTGAGGCTGGGGCACCCCTGACTCTGGCGATTGAGGATGGAAGGTGTTGTTGACGGAGTCGTGAGGCGGCATGACGTGAGTGAGGTGCCAAGTGCCTTGCAGAAGAATCTCGAACCCCTGCATTCGCGAAGACCCATTGAAGTGGATCCTGCAAGAAGGGGGCGGACCTCCAATTCCGGTACGGGGCAGGCGGGCAAGCGAGCCAAGACCACACCCCTTGCCACGGCCCGCTTTGGTGCCCCTCAAGCCCCACGAGGAACATGGCCGCTCTTGTTGGCCAACGGCTCGAGGGTTCTTCGCATTTTATGAGGTCTACGGAAAACGCCGTGCTAATCTTACAAAATGTCGCCTGTTAAGATAGGTATAACCACACGGGATGGCCAATCTTCTTTGTTGGTCAATTAAAAGACAAGACCAGTTCTTAAGGTATGAAATGGTTTTTCTGGGACTCGGCAAAAGTCGAGCTTCTTCAGATGCACTAGTCGCAAAACGGAACCCCCTGTACTTCAAGATCCACGCCTGGCTCCGCACCCACCTTGACGATTGCCCGCCGACAACGACGGCGCGCAGGGGTAGACGGCACAACCATTGAGCGACGTGGGATCAAACAAGCACATGGCTCCCAGTCAGATTCTCCCCAAACCCCAAGGGACACCGCCAACACCGGCCATTGTCGCGCCGGACGACAACCACGGCGAACCCTCATTCCAATTCACTTGCGACGACTACGACGGCGATAACGACCAAGCTCACCATCACGATCACGATCAGGACGAGCATATCATTGAACTGTCAGCCGCGAATCCCCCGGAGCGCAAACATTCTCTTAGCCCGGCTACCCTCCTCCACCCCCACCACTCGCCTTCGTTGCGTCCACCGGCCCTCGAGTCTACCTTCGCCATGGCCACCGAGGGTGGGCTTGTCGATGGGGGCTCAAATGGGCCTACCCCGAAGAACCCGTTCAACTTTCAAACCCAATTTATCTCCTCGGGCCCGGTCAAGCCAGTACGTGAACATCTTCCTCTCTTGGGGTCCTGCAATTGGGTGCAGTTATTGGAGATGGGAGATGGGATGTTGGGAGCCTTGAAAACAGGCCAGCTAACATCTTCTTTCTGGTCTAGAACATTGGACAACGACGAGGCCACCGTTACAAACACAGCTCGATAAGCGCACAGCACCAGATCTTCCAAGAACCACCTCCGCGACCGCCTCCCGTACTACCGGCCTCCCTCCCCATACCAACACTTAGAGAGGCATGGGCTAGCATGCAGCGCGGCCAGCGCGCCCGCCTCTGGTGGTGCTGTTGCCACGCGGCCATCGCCATGTACGTCTTTTTCGGCGCCGAAGGCTCCCTCGCCATGACGGCGTTGTCGCACCTTGTCTTCTTTGACGTCGGGTCGGCTGCCGTGTGCGTTGCGGTCGACGTGCTGGGCAACTTTGAAGTCTGGCGGCGCTCCAGCATCCGCCATCCCTTCGGCCTGCAGCGCGCCGAGGTGCTCGCGGGCTTCGCCATGTCCGTCTTCCTCGTCTTTGGCGGCTTCGACCTCATCTCGCACAACCTCAAACACTTTCTCGAGACCGTCGGCGACCACGCCCCGCACCACCCTCCCACCACCTCACACGCCAGCAGCGGCGAAGCCCCATTGGACAGCCACGGCCACACCCACGGCGTGCGCTACATAACCCCCGGCACTGTCGACTTCACCTGCCTAGCAGCAGTAGTAAGCACGCTCGTCAGCGCGTACGGGCTGCGCAACCACGGGCGGATCCGGCGGGTGATGCGGGTGCCCTTCCCCTACCTGGCACGGCTCCTACCCGGGGCCGGGATCCTCGCCAACCCCTTCCACTTCCTCACCCTCTGCTTCTCCTTCCTGATGCTCCTCCTCCCCCTCCTCAGCGTACCCCACCTCGTCTGGCTCGACCGCCTCCTCTGCGCGGCCATCGCCGCCAGCATGTTCGTCCTCGGCACCCGCCTCGCCGTCGCCCAGGGCCTCATGCTGCTCATGAGCTACAGCGAGCTGTCCGCCTCCCCAGCCACCGCTGCCGCCACCAACACCAACCCCAAAAACAACCCCAACAGGAACACCACCAAATCCACCCTCATTTCCAGCAACAACACGAAACCCCACAAACCCGACACCGACACCGCGACCGTCTCCTCCGTGGTCCGCGAAATCGAGTCCGAGCCGCACGTCGCGCGCGTCGAGGAGGCCCAGTTCTGGCAGGTGCACTACGGGCTGGGGATGGCCAACCTCAAGGTGCGGGTGGTCGGGGGCAGCGGCAAGGGAGGAGGGATTGGGGGGAACAGTGGGGTGAGCAGCCTCGGGGGGGCAGACGATGACGGGGCGCTGAGCCAGCTGCGGGTGCGGCTGGCACGGGTGGTGCAGAATCGGCTTGGGGAGGGGTATGGGCGGGGAGGGAACCTGCGGTGGGAGGTTACGGTGCAGACGTGTAGTGATGGGTAGGGGTAGGGGTAGGGTAGGGCAGTAGGGCTTGGGTAGCGAGTTAGGGTCTTTCTGTTTGATGGTTTAATATCACATCACGGGTTTTGATCATTATTGTGAGCGCATCCATGAGTTGTTTATCCATGTGCTTGTTCTCGGCGCAAGAGATGGTCAAAAATCTGGAATCGACATGCTTTATGCGATGCTATGAACAGCCAATCTGCCCGCATCTAGGCAAGAATCATTTTCTCAAGCAGAGCACATCACCGATGAGGAACCCCCTCAACCCCGATAACAAGCAACAAGACATACAACTTAACAAAAGGCACTCCACCTGCTACTATGCCGCGGTCATCCCATGCCTGCGCCAAACTCCCAACAATCTAGTAGCCCGTAAACACCAACACCGGTAATGCTAAGAAACGCCCCGCCAACCACCTCATTGCAAAGCCAACTCAGGAAACATGCGCGCAATCTTGTCGGGGGTCCCAAACTCGGTCCGTACCGGCTCCGGCGTGATCGGACTCGTATCAAAGTACTGCACCAATCCAGCCGAGGCCCCGCCGTGTACTGCCTCCACCGCGCTCAGTGAGGCCCTCTTCTTCTTGATATTGCCCTGCGACGGCGGTTGTTGTGACGTGGCTCGAAGGAGAGGAGGCGCTGTGAGCGCCCTGACGTCCGTGGGCGGCGGCTGTAGGGATGCCGGTTCTGGGGCGACGGTCTCCGCGTGGGAGAGCGGCGTCCGGGAGCGCGGCAGGGTCGAGGTAGAAGAGAAGGTATCGAGCACGCGAGGTGCGGAAAGGCTGGCCGGTATGGATGGGATGGTTGGCCCACGTAAGCGCTGTTTGAGGGGTTCTGGGTGATCGGGAAGATGCGCTGCGGCGGAGACGGACGGAATGCCCGCCGGAAGACCAAAAGGTGTGCCGGCCCTGGAGGTGCCTTTCTCGTTGGCTGAAAGCCCTTTTGTGCTGACAAAGGCGGTTGACCGGCGGTGTTGCGGGTTGCGGTCGTAGTACTGGTCCATGATCGGATGCACCATGACCGTCTGGTTGTGAGATTGTGAGGATCGAGTTGGTTGGCACGTTTACCCAGTTTTCTAGAAAATAGTCAGTATCCAAGCCCCTTCAGGTTTGGCTTGAAGTGGACGTACCTCCGCTCGAAAGGTCAAGGGCTCGCTTGCCACTAGGACCACGTCTGCGCCCTTGTCACTTCGCTCCATCTGGTAGTCCCGGCTACCAGGCGTTGGTGCCCTTGTTTCCCACAGAGTGCCGGACGAATAATACAGACTGGCAGCCTCATCTGAGGAGCTGCCGATGTACCGAGTGCAGATGATGGTGTGGCCATCCGAGACGGAGAAGTTCAGGAGACTCCTGGTGTCGACGTTCTCGGCATGAATGACGCTCTCGGGAATGTTGTCGATGAGTTCGTTGATCAGCGCAATCGTCTTGAGCATTGCCTTTCTAAGGACTGTCGGCCCAAATCCGCTCTCGGGCTGTGAGCTGGGATCGTGACCCATCCGTTCCAGCGTGTCCAGGAATAAGGCAAACGCCCACTCGCTGTCGGTGCCGCCCACCACATTCAGATACCACTTGTCGGCCAACCGCTCACCGAGCCTCCGCTTGATTTGTTTCCAACCGCCTAGACCACCATTGTGCATCCACATTAAGCTGCCGTGGCAGAACGGGTGACAATTGTCCTCGCTGAGCGACCCTTCGGTGGTGGCTCGGACATGGGCAAAGATCAATCTCGACGCAGTTTTGGAGGCAATTCGCTGCAGGTTCACGCAGTTCCAGGCCGGTGTGGTCGAGGTGAAGAGGCACGGGGCGGCGCCCAGTCTTGCGTCGGTGTAGAAACCAAGGCCGAAGCCATCTGCATTGTTCTGTCCGCGGCGGGTATCCTGCAATCCGAGACAATCCACTTAGCCATGACTCATAGACACATGCGGAATCGTGCCGACTCACCAGTCGGAGGCGCGAGTCGAATGACTGCTTGAGGATGGAATGCGCCGGGTCGAGGACGAGCTTCGAGAGGAGAATCTCGTCGCTGCCCTTGTAGACCTGGATAATGCGAGCAACTCTTAGTGACCATAGTTCTGAATGCTACGTAGATGTTGGCGTAGCCAACTTACCAAAAACCGGCACATGGCGGTCGGTGGTGATGGTGCCCAAGATCAAGCCGTCCGAGAACGGGCGGTGGAGTCGAATGGGTTGCGTCCAAGAAGTTCGGGAACGATCTGTAAAAAAAAAGAGTAATTCCCGCCTTTGGAATATTTGAATAAATTCCAGTTAAGTCCCAACCCTGTCCCGATGTTTGCAATCGTGTGACAGGTTAGCGCGTGGGATAACTGCAGGAAAGTGTTCGCAGTTTAGGTGTTAAAGGTGTTGTTGGTCCACTTAAAGAAGGAGTCAGGAACGGACAAGGGCATGGCTCGAGGCAAGTTCCCGGCGGCAGGGCTGACGGAATCGGCTGAGCGAATGGCGGAAGTGCCTTTGTTAAGTCGAGTGCGATGCCACTTTGGAAGGAGACGATCGAAATCAGTTTGTGACCCTGCAGGGTAAATTAAGGTTAATTGTGTTGGTTTAATCCCTCGCAACCAAGAGTAACATTCCATGTCAATGCATCTGGTTCCTTTTGCAACTCCTTGCTTGACCTTACCTAAAGTTGCCTCGAGTTGTCTGCCAGTGCCTCAGCTGTGCTGCACTAACGTCAGTTGGGCACCCTGCAGCCGAGACCGGGCCAGGCTGGATGCAGCAACGAGCTGGATCTCAAGAATGTGGAGAGACCCACAGCTGGCCCGGACGGGAGCACACTGTTTCATCGGACGACCTACAACCTCGCAAGCACAACGTTATTCCGTCCGATCAGGTAGGTATGAAGTATATGACGTGGTTTGAGATACCTAACTACCTGCCCTGGCTGCCCAACGCAGACCACTCCCTTCCAGAACCTCATTCCGTAAATTTGATCGTGATCCTTATTCAGTTCGACAGGTTAGGTAGTTTAGTAATAATTAACATCCCAACGCTGCGGGCAAACACTCATTCTCACATCTTAGGAAATCTGTTCACTTACATTCTGTAAAATTATTTGGACCCCTGAACTGGAACTCCTGTGTCTCAAATTTTGCACATCGTCTGAGATATGAATTCGTTGGACCTTGGATAATTATGCAATTAAACCATAGATAAAGCTTGAAGGTGGGGCACAACTCCCGGTTTATTCCTGAGGGAAAACGAGCAGAGTCCTTGTCACCCGCACTGATGCACGCTGCCCGCCAAAGCACTGCCCGATTAACAAACGCACTGACGATTTCGACTCCCCCACCCTTATTTGCTCGACAATAGTGTCGACGTCCATGCTGCCGTATGACGCCTAGATCCTCGCTGCTCGGTTCACCACCATGAGCGCGCAGCTCCGTGCAGTCGGGGCGATGGCCCCCCTCCCCCGCCGCCTTGCCGTTCGGGCAGTTCGACATTTCCACCACCTCCCGACCGGCGGCATCCAGCGGGCCGATCTTGCCGCTCGTAGCTTTAGGAGGTCGTTGCAGTTCCCGTCAAACGCCTACCACAACGCCGTCATCGTTCGAAATGCCTCCTTTGCTCGCATGTTGCCCAAGCTGGCCCTCAAGTTTGTTAGGATCCCCGCCCTGTTCGGCGGCGTAATGATCGGCACCGTGGGTTGGGTACAGTATCAGGCCATTCGTAAGGCAGACCTGGCCACTACCTAGGCATGGATGGGCCTTGCTAACGGGAAGCAGAGGTCAGTAACTCTGCCCAGGAGATGTTCAGCAACATGAAGAACACCGTCACTTCTACCGCCTCGACGCTGTGGGGGGGCGCCAAGGATATCGCCGGACAGACGAAACAAGGGTGGGACAACACAAAAGAGAACTTCGAGATACCGGAATGGCTGGACAAGATTATGAAAGGGGAGGGCGATGCTGCCTCTGGTAAAGGAGGGGCAGGCGGGCAGGGCGGGCCGGAACCGCCCAAGCAGAGCAGGTCTGGAGTTGGCGCCGTTGCAGGAGCCTCGGCCGCTGCCTATGGTCTTGATCAGTCTGATGAAAACGACGAAAGGACACCCGAGGAGGTCATCAAGGACGACCAGATGATGTTCATCACCAAGAAAATGATCGAAATCCGGAACCTCTTACAGAAGGTCGGCCAATCCAACACCGTCACGCTGCCGTCTATTGTTGTTATTGGCTCGCAGTCGTCAGGGAAGAGCTCTGTGCTAGAAGCCATCGTTGGTCATGAATTTCTGCCCAAGGGAAGCAACATGATCACCCGGCGGCCGATCGAGCTCACTCTCGTGAACGACCCCGAAGCACGGGTCGACTATGGCGAATTCCCCGATCTCGGCCTTACCAGGGTTACCGACTTCTCCCTGATCCAAAAGACCCTCACGGAACTCAACCAGTCGGTCCCCGAGTCTCTGTGCGTTACGGACGACCCCATCCGGCTTACCATCCACTCGCCAGGGATACCAGACCTGTCACTTATCGACCTCCCCGGTTACATCCAAGTGGCGGGAGAAAACCAGCCCCGGGAGCTGAAGCGCAAGATCTCGGAACTGTGCGACAAGTATATTCGGGGACCCAACATTATCCTCGCCATCTCAGCCGCCGACACCGATCTGGCGAACTCGACTGCTTTGCAAGCCAGCCGTAGAGTGGACCCGCGGGGAGAACGGACTATCGGTGTTATCACTAAGATGGACTTGGTTGAGCCGGACAAGGGCGCCGATATTCTGAGCGATCGGAAGTACCCGCTGAGGCTCGGCTATGTTGGCGTCATCTCCAAATTGCCAACCCAGACAGGTCTCTTTAGGAGGGAGACCGGCAACCTCTTGGCGGGTATCACCCGGAACGAAAGATCCTTCTTCAACACATACCCTGCTCAGTTCGGGCCGGAGGCCGGGGTCAACACAGGCACAATAACGCTTCGAAAGAAGCTTATGCAGGTCCTGGAACAAACCATGTCCTCCAAGTTGCACGAGACCACCGAGTCCATCCAGCGAGAGCTCGAGGAAACCACCTATCAGTTCAAGGTGCAGTACAACGAGCAGCCCATGAGCGCCGAGGCATACCTGGCCGCGAGCTTGGATGAGTTCAAACATCAATTCCACGCTTTCTCGTCGTCTTTTGGCCGGGCCCAGCTGCAGAGTTTGCTCAAGGATGCACTCGACCAGAAGGTTCTTGACCAGCTGCCGCCAGATACTGGAACAGGCCGGTGTAGTATCTCTCTGTGGCTCTCCCTGAGCCGGACAATATTGCCGACCTCCCCACCGCTGACCCGAAGTCGCCCTACTGGCACCGACAGCTCGACACGGCCCTATCCGGTCTTACTAGGCTCGGCGTGGGCCGTCTCGCAGCCACGGTAGCCGCCACAGCCGTCCAGTCCAACATTGACAAGCTCCTCGACAAGTCATCCTTCTCTAAGCACCCGTCAGCCCGCAAGGCCATTAGCGAAGCCGCCTCTACTGTCCTTGCGGATCGGTCATACGCCACAAGCGACGGTATTGAGATCTCTCTCAAACCCTACAAGTTTGATCCTGATATCCAGCCCAACGAGTGGGCCCAAGGGCGTGAACACGTCGTTGGCGTGCTCCAAGGCGAACTGGAACAGTGCCAGTCGGCCTTGAAAAGCCTTGAGAGCGCGGTCGGCGGGAGAAAAAAACTCAAGGAGGTCATGACCTTCGTCGACAAAGCCCGCCGCGGTGAGGTCATTGTCGAGGGCGACCACCACCCCAGTGGGGCAGGCGGATTCAGCGCCGCTCTCCTCGCGCGAGGTATGTTCTTCCCCTTTTCGCACCCCTTTTCCCCTCCTCCCTCTACATCGCAATACTAACTGCACCAATCAACCAACCAGGCCGCGAAGCCGCCTTCCTGCGCGACCGCGCCGACATCATCAACATGCGCATCACAGCAGCCAAGTCGCGCAAGTGCAAGGACCCCGAGAACAAGTACTACTGCCCGGAAGTGTTCCTCGACGCCGTCGCCACCAAGCTCTCCCAGACGGCCGTGCTGTTCCTCAACGTCGAGATGCTCAACGACTTCTACTCGCGCTTCCCCCGCGAGGTCGAGAGCAAGCTGCACGAGCACATGGCCGCCGGCGGGCTCGAGCGCTTCGCCCGCGAGGACCCCAAGGTCCGCAGGCACCTCGATCTCATCCATCGCAAGGAGCTGCTCGAGCTGGTCCTGACCAAGATCGAAGACCTGAACCGTTTTGGTGGCGGGACTGGGTCGGGCCGTGGTGCGGCTGGGGGCCGGGAGCTGGCGGAGGCGGGGAAGAAGAGGAGGCGGTTCTTTTAGGTGGGGGGTAGAGAAGGGGGGTGGGTGGAAGGTGAAAAATGTGGTGAGGGAGGAAAGGGGAGGGGAACGGGGAGGAGAAAGAGGAGGGGCAGGGTTTGCGTAGCTGCTTACTTGGTTGGTCTTGAGGGTCATGGCGTTTGTTGTTGGGTTGGCTGGGCTGGCTGGGGCTGTATGGGTGTTGGTTGTGTGGCAGGCAGCGCTTTCTGGGATTCACTCGTTTATACATCGCTCTCTCCTTACATTCCTTGTCTTGTGATGAAAAAATGGTCGGCTTGGCTTGTTGGACTGCTTGCTGGGGGAGGTAGACACATCTCCTCTCGAGTCTTTCAACGCCGTGTTAAATAAACGCTAGATGCGCGTGACGCAAAGTGAGAAGATTTCAAGGGGTACATGTCGCGTTCGATATTAGCGATATGGCGCGTTATACATACAACGTTGGTTAACCAGCTGGTCGTGGTAGACAAAATCAATGACGGTGCTGAAGATGGAAACGCCAAGAGGACACGACGCCTTAAATTGACAGTTTTATCAAGTCGCTCTCCGTTCCCATCCTTTATCCCCAGCCGAACCACTAGATGTACAGGACGAATTACACGTATGGTTTTAAAACAAGCGGCGAATTGCGCAACGCGTCTTTTCTCCTCCTTTTTCCTTGAGGCTAGCCAACGCGGCGCGCGCCGTCAACCAATTCCACCCCCCAATAATCATTCAGCCAACTTCGCTACACGAAACCCAACCCATCATCCAAACCAACACACACGACCTGGCGCGGCACGCGGCACTAGAGGACACAACACGACAGGAGCTCTATTTGGTCTTGCCGCTGGCGCTGCTCTTGACGCGGCGCGCCACGGGGCGGTTGATGTGGTGGTTGGGGATCCAGCTCTCGTCGTAGCTCTTGGAGCCGTCACCACCGCTGGTGGCGCCGGCCGAGTCGTAGCCGGACTGGGGCTCGGGCTCGACGATGGCGGCCTTGCGCGCAGCCTTCTTGCCGCCTGTCGGCGCCACCTTGGCCTGCGGGAAAAGGGCCTCGATCCAGGTCTTGTAGACGAAGTAGAGGGTCGCACCGAACGCGCCAGTGAGGAAGAGGTAGAGGAAGATGCTGCAAAGGGATGGTTTGTCAGCGGTTGTTTTTGTGTGTGTGGATGGGTACGGAACGGCCGGATGGAGCAGAGCTTACATTTGGGGGTCAAATAGGCTGGTAGGCGGCTCGACAATGCTCGCGGCGCCGCTGTGGGCCTGGACCTGGAAGATCTGGCTGGAGGCCGAGTTGGTGATGATGGCGACCAGCTCAACGAGGACGTCCTGCGGCATCATGTCGAGGACGAACTGGAAGGGAAGCTGGTGCTTCTCACCGGCGGCGATCGAGACGTCGTACCGGACGGCCGTCAGGTTGCGGATGATGGCGGCGGAGGCCGGGGCATCCTCGGGCAGCGGCTTGGTGGTCTTGAGCATGCCGCCGACAAAGGCCACGTCAATTGGCGTGTCCTCATGGTTGGTGATCTCGATCAGCGCCTTGGTGACCCGGCCATTGACGATCTTGACGCCGAAGATGTCGGCATCGGGAAAGGTCGTCTCGATCTCGGCCTTGAGCTCGGGCTGCTCGACCGGAACGGCGGTGACGGGCTCGGAGTCGACCTGGAGAGGTTGCACGTGAGCAATTGTGCTTCTACGGGCTGCAGTCGAAAAGGGGCTGCTCGTGATGATGCATGATGCAACTTACATCTTCCGCAGCGAAGGCGGTGGCGATGCGCAGGGCGAGCAAGGCGAGAGAAGACCACTTGAGATTGACCATGATGCCGGTTTCCAAAAGGGGAAAGGGGGTGTTGATGAAGAAGAGAAAAAAAGGGAGAGATGGGAATTTAGGAGAGGTCCAAATCCCAACTCGAGCTCGGAAGGAATCGATGTCGTAAAAACGTGGTGTGTGCAATCTGGCAACTGGCACTAGCGCCTCAGCTCCTGTGGTTCGCGCTTGAGCTGTTGGGGTCAAGTGTGGCGTTACCCCAAATATGCAGGTAACAAAATACTTGGGACGAGTGGGGTTTGTTAGCGACAATACGGTATCCAGATGGACGGCGGAGACAGTCGGGTAATTTACCGGGCCCGTTTCTCCTGTCGTGAAGATGAATACGGTATCGAGATAAACGGCCGAGGTCGTCAGGTATTTTACAAGACCCGTTTCTGAAGATTCTGTATCGAGATAAACGGCCGAGACGGCCAAGTAATTTACCACACCCGTTTCTCCAATCACTGCCAGTCCGTTACCAATGCTTGCCAAATTTCATCCAAGACGTCCAAAAGACCTCCTCTGACCCGCGACAGCCAAACACTTCCAGCACATGCCAAGGCACCTTGCCTGCAACCTCAAAAACACAGCTCGGAATCCAAAGCACATGCTGCATCCATTAACAAACACCCGTTGTACAATTTCTTATTCTACTTAAGGCGTCGCGCAGTCCTTATTTACCTTACGTGCCCAATTTTTCATCTAACAATATGGTAGCGGATGGCCGTTCTCGTCGAGAGTCGTCCCGTGTCCGTGGGAGGTTTGGCCACCAAATTTGAAGCATAACTACACAGCAGATGCAGCATCGTTACTCGTGAGCCTTCTCGTAGGCTAAGGAGAAACATGGCTTGCTGAGTGAGCGTTTGTCATGGCTAACTAAACCTTGAGGGGGTGCTCTGAGCCATTGACTATCAGACATTCTCCTCTTTATTTTCGGGAAGGTGTCAGCAGTCAGTGACTGAGACAACAGGGTAGAATTAGGACGGCCCTCGGCTTTCCGTTCATCTAGTGTAAACATATGCCATGATATAAGTGCCGATCTGGCGCACAACAACAACTCCATCCCCCTGTCTCATCCAACTGATGTCGTGGGTGGCTTTTTAGTGAGGTCGTGCATGGTCAACGCTCCTTGCGCCTTCGAAGCAGTCCACAAGTCTGACTCAGATCGCCAACACGTTGGGCAACCGGAGAAAACATGGAGCAATCCGCCGGGTTAGTTGCTCATTGCTCACGGGCTGTCGTCACCCAAGATTTCCGAGAGGCCATCGGCATTGGCTTGCCATCTGAGGCGGTTCGTCTTATGGGAGTACTGTGTATGCACAGCTTTAAGCGGCGGCCACGATCGGCGATCTGGCGCCACTCTGAGACAATCTCGAGAGAATGGCCATGGCAGTGTGCGCACTTGGAGTTGGGGCTGGGCAAGCCAAGACAGGCATGCAGGATTGGTGTCGAGGGCGCACGCAGAACATCGGGAGGCCCGTCAACTTGCTACCATGAATTCAGCGGATGTCCAGGTATACCTGACGCCGTTGGAAGGACCTTGGCCGAGTCATTCATAAACGGTTAAAGGGTCCGCGAGTTACCCCTGTCTCCTGCCCACCTACCCTAGTACAGTACACAGTATTATAGACGATGCTATGCCACAGTACGGAGACGGCCGCTGATCTCGGGCCCAAATAGTGACCACGGTCTTGACGTACCCCAGACTCAGCCAATGTCCAGCTAGTGCAGTCGCTGGGGTTATGTACGTGCAACGGTCGTACCGCGTGCTGTTCTCGAGGGGGGGGTGGGGTGAAGACAACCTGAGGTCTTGGTTTTTGCCTTCGCCTTCTTCGACCCCCGGCAGCGCCGCAGCGACAATGCGTAGGTGGCAGCCGAGATGTCGTCGTGGTAGGTGATCCGACCGACCACAATAGGTGCGTGTTAAACGGCGTGTCGTGGGAAGCGTACTTCAAGACGGATGGAAACGTAAGGGGGGCTGTTCGAGTGCGTGTTGGGTGTGAGTGTACCGGGAAAACTACCTACCTAGTAGAATACCAAACAAAGCACCTTATTTATTATTGACAAAACCACAAGAAAGGTCCGGTTAAGCATAGCGAAATGAGAAAGATTGTGTGGCATCATCTATATCAGATTTTATCTGTTCGCATGAGGAGGATCGCATGGATTCGGTTGTAATCAGATTAAGGAAGATTGTGTCTGGTAGGGTCGATGGCCGAAAACGGGACGCATATAGAGACGTACTCAAGATCTGGTAAGTTGTTGCTGGTATATTCAACAAAATACCCGAATACCTCTCGTGTTATCGAGCAAAGACGGTAGTCTCGGCCCTCTACCCCAACGTTGGACAGCCCCTTGTTCATAAACATGCGTCCATCTTTATAGTGGCGGAGGATTTCACATATTTGTACAACTTTGTATGGGTGCTGTTGGGAATCGGGAATGCCTTCCCGGGGCGACGGAATGGCAACGAGCCCACTCACCCCAAACATCAAGGCATCTTCGTGCTCGAACATACTCTCAATGGGAGAACCACCACGGGGAGCATCATTTGGAACCATGATTGTCAAGTTTATAAACGGCCCGCCCGCTAAGATCCAGTCGACTGCCCCCAGATCTTTTTCCCTCCTGCCCACCAAGGTACGCACCCTGTGTCTGCGCTGAGGGAATCCACTTCGACTCCCTTTAAGTCATCCGTGAGATGAATTCGCTCGTATTTTGGTTCCAAACAAAACGGTGGATCGTAGAAAATAGATCGTTCAACCTGAAGTCGCGGCCTAGCATTTGCAAGACTAGGTCCTGTGTAGCGCCCTCAAAAAGCGGCAGCTGCGGGCCGTCTTGTTTGAACTGTTTATACTGTTGGTGGGATTGATGACCTGAGGTTTTCTTGACCACGAGCGAAAGTACCTCCGTACCCAAATCTGCCGCTCGAGTCATTTACAGGCCTCCAAGAACGGCTCAAGGGATTCGCGTTGCGCGACACTGCGGTCAGCCTCAGCCCAGGACCGCGTCTTAGGCATATTGTACGGGTACTTAGGATCCTTGACGTGCCGAATCGAAACTAAGACACGGGTTTTTGGTGTTGGATATCGCCAAGCAAGTCTTTCCGTTGCTGCTTGGATAATGCTAAGCCGAACTTCTGCGGGAAGTCGACGAATCCATGAATGCGGTGCTTCCATGGATTCCTGGCTACGAGTAGGAGATGCCATGAGTACAAAGGAAGTATTGATAGTTGTATAGGTAATAGAGATTTGCGGTGATGGTGATAGAGGCCAATATGGCTGATAACTGCAGTGATGTGTGTTAAGTAGGGCCAGAGGTTCTGGGTAGAGGGGACTGTGTCGTAGGTTCTGGTCCCCTATACGGAGAACATTGTCCGTCTTTACAAGGCATGTCTTTGTCGATTTGTGATCAAAGAAAGCGATTCGATTCTTTTCCAGCGGACGACACGACAATCCCAGATATCGACGTGACCCCCACTCATCTCCTCATTATTTTTTTAAGATCAAGTACATACCGCGGCGTGTGAGCAATCGGGAAAGCTGTGCATCAAATGGGCGCTTGTGGCTCCCGAGGCGCCATCCTCTCCGGGAAAGACCGCAGCCGATCTCTCGTCATGTGGCCTCCCTGCGAGGTTAATTCCGGAGGCGTGAAGGCTACCGCAAATCCTCCTCGCGGTGCCTGTTCTCCTGACAAGGCCATCGTCGAGCTTGCAGCGACGGCGTCAGAAAAGGTGGCCATCAGGCATAAAAGCAAATGAAGCGAGACGTCAAGGTTCGTTTAGTCCCGGCATGATCTCCAAGAGTCCTCCCTATATGGAATAAGTCGTGGAAGCCAGTCGAGGCACGACTTGGGGAAGTTTCGAGGTCGAGCCACGCCACGAGGCTAAGTCTAGAACCAATGTGTTGATCGCTGACGGCTGGGTTCGAGGAAGTTGTGAATGGAAGCGACGTCCTTGCTTTGAGTCGGCCGTTGACGCTTGGCAGACCGAGTGTTCTCCGACTCCACTTCTTCCCTTGCCTGGTTGAGCTATTGGCCAATCATCCTCCACGACCGCAAGGCTTGCAAGTCAAGTCCCCACAGCGAACGCAAACCTTGAACACCGCCGAGGCCTCTTTCTCTTTCCCGTTTTGTAACTTCGGCTCTAAGAAATCGGCCAAGACTGCCAACAACAAGCGGCGAACAACTCGGCATGTCCTCACAAGTCGTTTTTAGGACAGGTGTATAGATTACGTTGCTTGCTACCCTGACCAACTAACCAGTGAATTGTTGCCGCCCTGGAGTCACGCAGCTGCGACCCAAGCATCTGTGCACTTGCAGAGTTGAGACGAACAAGAGACCATCCATCCATACGCACAAAGAACATGGCTCAGTGGGATTCATTTTCTGCGGATTTCTGACAGATGTTTGATGATCTTTCCGTTCGAACAAGGAGCCAGCTGTCGCGGTAGTCCCCCATTCGTGGAGCACGAGATGCCAGATGGCTCGGCTGCGTTATAGTCTGCTTTGATGGATGGAATCGAGGATTATCAAGCTTCCGGCAGGCCTGTCAAGCTGAGCAGATCCGACCGATCGGCCGAGCCGCCCGATGAGGTGCCGAACATTCCAGCCCCTGCTTTCGCCCTCCATTACCCTTTTGACTCGCGCAGGGGTTCGAAAGCAGCTGCGCCTGTCCCGTTAGGAACGTGCCCCCATCCCAAGATGCCCAAATAAGCGAGACGGGAATACTCGACAGATTCGAAATTCCAGAAATCCTCTGGCTCCTGCAGGCCGCTTTCTGGACATCCATACTGTGCGTCCCGCTACCGAGTCCGGGATAGTTGCTGCCATGGATGCAAACAGGCGCAAAGCGCCGACTAAGATCGCCACCAGGGGGCTTCCACGAGCACGGGTCACCCAAGGTGGCACATCACACAAGCCTGGTCCGGCCCAAGTACATACATACTGTGTACATCTCC